TCAACGCACAGCCCAAACCACTGGACGAATCGGGCTAAAATTTGGCATGCAGGTAGATGTTATGACATAGGCTAAGAAAGGATTTTACGAAACTCCACCCCTAAGGGGGTAAAACGGGATCCACGCGTACGAAGTCGCGAGCGGCCGCTAGTCAGTCATAAAATGTCACCGTGTCTTTTCTATTTTGGTTAAAATTGAAGTGCCTTTAAAGTTTAGGGAAAAAACCAATTTAGTCAAGGACAAATTAATTTGCCCAGATATCATGGTTGGCCGAATCTCCCATTACATCATTTAAAGCCTACAAATTTCGAAAACTAATTCATTTTATTTAATGAAACGGTAAATAAGAACTGTAGGTGGACCCTGAAATTACATTTGGCCAGTTTTCTATAATTGGAAGAATTGGCGCGAAAAAGACAGTGGGCGCTTAGTTTTCTATTAGGGTTCCATAATAGGGAAAAAATAAGTTGTAAAAGTTTATAAATTATTCATAATAAACTAACTTAATGATAGAATTTCTGTAAAATACTTACGCCCGTATTCACAAAAATTACTGTGAGGTCTTGTGAGACGAGACGCGCTCCACGCACAGGGTGACACACGAACCAATCACAGAGCTCTATTCAACGCTGGGCGTTCGAATTGCTGCTTCACTTAAGCAAGCATCGTTTGTGAATACGGGCGTTAGTGACTCTACCTCCTACTCCTACAAGCACTGACGATAGCATATCAAGCTTGACAATGTGGTTCTAATCGGCTTAATATTACGTGCCATTTTCCAACAAAAAATGATAACCTGATGTGGTGGCATCAAAAGTTACGTAAATTGCAATTCGAGTTTGTGGTAACGTTTTACTGCCTTGTTCTACCACAATAATAAAATACAGGTAGGTACTTTAAATAGTCATATTTATACAGTTTTCTAAACTACAATCATATTAACCTACATTAGTAGTAGTAGGTAGTTACCACGTATTTTGTATTTAGCCACAAAGAAACAAACGTTTACAACAACTTTAAAAAGTTCGTCTGGCTAGCTACCACCTCTGTCTGTCGCCATCACAGCAATGTTAACAACATTGTTGTGTTCCGGCAGTTGGAGGTATATTAAGCTTCTGTAGTTGAGAATTCCAGGTGAAGCTCGCTTCCACCTTCGGCCTGATCATCACTTTCCATCAGGTAAGAAGCAGGTCAAGCTTTTTCATTGGGGATAGTAAAAAAATGCTAGCTATTACGAAAAAAACCTTGACTTAACTTGTAAAATATCCATATTAGGAGCATAGTGAAACAAACTGGGACAGAAAAGTTTTCGAGTGGCGACCACGGTCACGGGTGGGCAGGTCCCTCACTAGATGGACCGACGATCTGGTGAACGTAGCGGGAAGCATACAAGGAGGCGGACAAAGCAGGACCGGTCGAGGAAATCCTTGCGGGCGGCCTTTGTCCAGCAGTGGACGTCATTTGGATGAAACGAAACGAAAACCTTCATAAAACTTTGTCTTTGGAGGTAGGGCTGGTCTAATTCATATTGATGATGAAACTAGCTGTGCCCGCGACTTCGTACGCGTGAAAACCCGTTTTCGCAACATTTTTCATTTTTGCTTTGCACCTATTACTCTGTGTGATGGTATACCTCGAATGGGCTATCTAACACTGATAGAATTTTTCAAATCGGACCAGTAGTTCCGGAGATTAGCGCGTTCAAGTAAACAAACAAACTCTTCAGCTTTATAATATTAAAGTATACAGGGTGGAAACGATAAGTGATCTCATTCGATTATTTCTAAACTATACAAGATATCGAAAAACTGGTTACTGATACTGAAAGTGCTTCACGAGCTCTATCCAACGGTACCAATAATAGGTTACAGAATTAACTGGATCTATCCGAAAATTAATTGTTTTCAGCTTCCATACATTTAGTAAAACCACATAATATTAAAAACTATACAAGATATTCAAAAAGTGGTTATTGATCCTGAAAGTGCTTTACGAGCTCTATCCAACGATACCAATAATAGGTTACAAAATTAACTGGATCCATCCTAAAATTCAATGTTTCCAGCTTCCATACATTTAGTACAGCCACAGTCATGGCACTCATGTCTTGATAATATTATAGCAAGTAAAGCCTAAAACCAATGTTTTCCATGAATAATTGTAAATAAGAATGCAATTTACGAGTTCATTTTAAGTGATTAATGTTTAATGAAAAAAATTAATACTTCTAATTTTGTTTGACTGGCATACATTTAGTATGGAGGCTGAAAACATTTAATTTTCGAATAGATCCAGTTTATTATGTAACCTATTATTGGTACCGTTTGAAAGAGCTTGTGAAGCACTTTCAGAATCAGTAATCAGTTTTTCGATATCTTGTATAGTTTAGAAATAATCGAGTGAGATCACTTAACGTTTCCACCCTGTATAGAGAGTGAGATGAGGTTTAAAAATGGACTCGCTAGTGCATGACGCCGTCCTTGTAACACAATAGTCACCAATCAGCCACTTGTAACTAAACAGATAATGCGCCACCTTCCTTATTACGGCGAGTGAACATTGACCACATCTTATAATGGAACAACCTTTGTCTAATTTGAGAACTACTTTACCCTATAGGTACTTAAATTCGTACGGATTTTTTTTTAAGAAAATGTATTATTTTCAGAATTTTTACGATACGTAGGTAGGGAAGGTTAAATATTTCGCGCTTTTGAAACAACACGTGTGTGACCCTGTGCGTCCACGCGAACTGTGAGACCTCATAGTAATGTTTGTGAATACGGGCGTAAGTCTTGATCAACTATTGTCACGCATACAAAGTCACGCGCAGAGCTATTTCTATAATGAGTTACTCTGAATTACTCTGAAAGAATCCTAACAAATGAGCTTCACACTTTTCATTATTTTTTTGCATCGTCATCTAAGGTCAGTTGTCAGACAAATTATTATTAATTTCTGTTCAACAGTCGACGGCATTTACATACCAATTATATTATTCCCTCCTACGTATTTAAATCTATCCCAGAGTTTCCCAAACTTTAATGGAGTAAGCCGTAAAAATATCCTCTTGGAATGCGACTCTCCCTCGCACATGTATGACGTCACGCCCGCCAGGTGCGTAGTTAACTCGACAGCGCTGTTGTACATTACTATAAGTCTGGTCTGCGAGCACGTAGAATTTTGTCCAATGACCCCAAGCTACCCATCCTTATCGCTCGCGCGTAATTATGTTACTGTCACGCTCGCACATTCACTGCGGGCGCCCGTCGCACAGTCGCGACAGCAATATAATTACGCGCGAGCGATAAGGATGGGTAGCTTGGGGTCATTGGACAAAGTTCTACGTGCTCACAGACCGGGCTTTAGGCTCTTTTCAGGGCCTACAAAGGGGGCGCTGGCTTGGCTTTTCAGGGGGGCAGTAAAAATAATTTATTCTCTGTAAAATATAGCTTGCTCTACCATCACTTCGGGACAACATATCGGCTGGTACTGAGAAGAAGTGGCGGAAAAAGAAGAAGAATAAAGCCCGGTTTCCACTAAGACCACAGAATAATAATAAGTACTACGTATACGTACAGAAGATTTTCTTCGCGAAGGTATTTAATAAAATGTATGCTCAATGTCGTTAACAATATGGTGTAATTTAGCTTGTCTCAAAATTCGAGCACCATTTTGTTGACATAGGTAACGTCAGTGATCGGTCCTGCGCCGAAGCTATAGGGCTGACTTCGGTAAAATGATGTGTGACGTGCTGTGCCAAACTGCGGAAAATGGCGGAGGAAGTACATGAATAAGCATGAATTATATTTTGTGTTTCTATTATTATTCAGGCAGTTAAAAAATACTGCACAGTATTAATTACACCACCGTTTTTATAGTTTATTGTCTTTACAATGCAAATGGATGAAGAATACTCGCTTGTGATTGTCCTGTCGAATAAGTATCTCAGGAGGGGTAGTCGTGCGTGTTTTGTTTTCGATGCAAACTCGCGGAGATGAACAGGCCTGCTAAGACGGAGCAGAGCGGAAAAGTGTTTTGAATAAATCTTCATTATTTCCACATCTCTCTCCACTCCGCCTCTGTCAAATTTTATAGAAAAACTAGCGGCCGCCCGCGACTTCGTGCGCTTGGACCCCGTTTTACCTCCTTAGGAGTGAAGTTTCGAGGTTTTTTTAGGGTTTTCCCGTAAATTATTCGAACTTTTCTCGCCGTAAAAACCATCCTTGGACTTCAACGAAATTTAAAAAAAAGAATTGGTAAAATTGGTCCAGGCGTTGTTGAGTTATGCGCTTACCAACACATTTTGCGATTCATTTTTATATTTATATCTCTCTTCTCCGCTCCGCTCCGCTTAGGTGGAAACCGGGGCTAACTTTGGGAACCTATGGCTGTACCCTACAATTGTATTAAGAGAATCACACTGACAAATACAATCTTGGGGCTAATTCCAACTGCTCCGTACATTTGTTTCAATTTTCTGCTAATCTTTTCTAAGGCGGAGGAGGTTGGGGCGAAACGGGTTTTTTTACAGCGTGATAAAAATCAATAAAAAATCACTACTTGTAAGTAGTTTTAATACCTACAATACAAAGTAGCATATTAAGCAGGTAGAAACTTTATTAAAGTGTTCAAGGATATAATAATAATAATTCAATCAAATTTTTGGAGTACTAAGTAAAATAGCAACTATGGGTCAAAAATGGCCAATAAATGAGAAAAAAGCTGTTGTTTTTTTTTATGCAAAACAAGGCAGTTATTTGACCACAATAGCACCTGATGTTAAGTGGGATGCAATTTTACTTGTAATCTTGTACCACGTGTGTGGTGAATCGATTGATTTTTTCATGAATTTGTTCATAAACAGAAGAAAAAGGTATACGCTAACTAATTTAGTTGGTTTTGTCTATAAACTTATTAATGTGTTTTTATTATTTAATCCAAGAAAATTGGTTTAACACACCTAACTATGTAAATCCTAATATTAAAAAAGTAATGTTATTTTCTACACGCCAAAAACAGAGAGAAAAAAATAGTTTTCTCCACCAAGTCGCTTCGCCCCGTTCTCCCCCAATCATTACCATACTATTTCAATTTGTGTCCTTATATAAAGCCACCCTTTCAACCCCATGCCAGTACAGAAGCTTTCGCCATAGACTCAACCCATGGAAAGGAACATTTGAAGTCACAAACATGATTTTCAATTTTAAATTGTTATTTTTCGTTCTTTCTCTGTTTTGTGCGCTTGCAACGGCCGTGGACGACTTGAAGGTAATTTGAAATATTAATCATCATCATCACCATCATCATCAGAGGTGGAATTGTGTAAAGCAATCGTAATCATTTTACAGTTCATAACGTACGATAAAGTCAGATAAACAAAGCGTTTGACAGAATAATCGTACGTTATGAACTGTCAAATGATAACGATTGCTTTACACTATTCCACCTCAGGTCATTTAGTCTGCAGAACAACTCTCTCCCCCATTTGTCTCTAAGAAAATGTGAATAAATTCAATTATTATTTTTATTTTTTTTAAATATTAATAGTCATTATCATCATCAGGTCATCATCATCATTAGTTTCCACTGGAAGACAACTCCCTTATCCGCTATTTGCCTCTAGTAAAATGTGAATTCACTCATATTTAATATTAAAATATTAAACGGCCCCACGTTGGGCGCCAATTTTTAATCAACTTCATCAAAAACAGAAGGTTCTCAATTCGGTTGATTTTTATACATTTTTTTACCTACATTGATTACGCCGAGATTTCTGATCCGATTTAAGAAATTCTTTTTTTTTATCGATGCGTAATAGTTGTCATTTGGTCCCATAAAAAAATAATTTGATCGAGTAAGTAGTTTTTATTTTATGAGCATTGTGTAGAGATGGGTTTCTTTTCTTGTCCAACAAGCGTTGAAACTAAATACACTTATTTTATAAAATCAATGCGTTGCTAAAAGAGTGTAAGTGTATAGTTTATTATGGAGTTCCAACTTCCAGCGGTCGTTCACCAACAGCCGAAACACAACAATGCTGTTAAACATTGTTGTTAAGGTGACAGACTTAGGTAAGATGGCGGTAGCTAGCCAGGACTTAGCAAGCCCTAACATCAATCAAAATGAAGAAAATCTTGCTCTCACTGGGAATCAAACCCGATTCGCACTTATTTTATAAAGAGTAAAGATTTTTTTTTTGTTTTGAATAAGCCCCGAAACTACTGGACCGATTTGAATTCTTTCACCATTAGAATCCTACATTATTTCTGATGAACATAGGCGGTACGAAGTTCGCCGGGTATTAATATTAATGTATTCTGGCAGGATGACGTGGACCGAGGCGCCAGCGACCGCGGCACCCTCTGGTTTGGCCCGCGACTCGGCAAGCGCTCCTTGAGGATATCAAATGACGACAACAAGTACGCACTGTGGTTCCCTTTTGGGAAAAAACATTGACGCCCGTATTCACAAACGATGCTTGCTTAAGTGAAGCAGAAAATCAAACACACAGCGTTGAATAGAGCTCTGTGATTCGTCCACTCGGCATGGGGCACACTGAAAACCAGCGTCGTGGCCTTCCCCACCGTGGGCCACGGCATATGCTGAGTGGAGTCCCATTGCGATGGGTATCGCTGTTGCGACAGAATAGCACTGCTCAGTTCACTTTTTATTTCCTTGTAATATTTATGTGCTATTTCTGTCTTTTTTTTCCGTATACCTTCTTTGTCCTTAAATCAGTGATGTTCATCGTAATAAATATTTCTTTCTTTGATTCCTGTGAGACCTCATAGTAATGTTTGTGAATACGGGTGTAAATTATCTACCTATCTCAACCCGGAAAGGGATCAACATCGTATCGCCTTTCGCCACGAGGCGTTTACGTTACGGTGCGGATAAGTGTGCGTTGCAGTACGGAGTTTCAAACAAAGAATAAGTACTAACCGCCTCGAGTTGATACGGTTACTACTATCCGTTTCCGGGTTGATAAGTGTGCTTGGTCCTTTATTATCTTCTCGTAGTACTTTATAACTTTACTTAGGCTGAGTTGCAGCACCTAACTTTGATGGTAACTATAACGATAACCGGTGCTTTTTGTATGGAGTTTGACAGATTTTGACGTTTGTCAAAGTTAAAGTAAGATGGTTGCAACCCAGCATTAGAAGTTTATTTTCTCAAAAAGTTGTGGGGAGTTTGTGGGGCGTTTATTCTCATAATAATTACACATTATTCTTCTTCCTTTTTAAGAGGATAGAAATATTTGTCTCCATAATTTATTTCAGATATTTAAATGGATTTTAATTTGCAGGCAAACTTTTTTGAGGCTTCTTGAAGCTGCCGACGCCTTGAAATTCTACTACGATCAGCTCCCCTTCTACGAAAACCAGGCCGACGATCCGGAGACCCGTGGTAAGTCACCAGTTCTTAATTTTCTAATTATTATTTTATTCAGGCTATTATCACACACAAATAGCTACATTAAACACAATAAAAAGAGTCAGACAAAAGTGACTGAGTTTCTTGCGCCACTTAGGGAGAATTAAGGGAATAGTTACAAAATGGCTACTCTCAATTAGCTACATCGATGCTGAATCATTGTTATCGTCAGTATACTAACTCATACACACACAAACGAGCGCGCGCACGCACACTTACACACACACACTCACACACACACACTCACACACACACACACACACACACACACACACACATACNAACTCAAGTCCCCAAAAGACAGGACTACCTAGTTTGGGGACTACCAGTAAGTCACCTGAATTCCTATTAGTATAACTACTTTGTAAGCCTATGTAACTAAAGTGCATTTTTCTGGAAATAAAATTTATTATTATTATTTATTATTATTATTACTTCTTCTCAGCACCAGCCCATAATGTTGCCCCGAAGTGGTGGTAGGGCAAGCTATATTTGGAACGTGTACAAGTGCCCTGGAAAGGGCTAAGTACCTACTGAATAATTTTTTGATTTGATTTGATTTTGAACAGCAGCAGGAGAAAACACAAAAAAAGAAATAGTTGACTGAGATAGTGTCATCCTGTCGCATTTGCGATGCCCATTGCAATGCCCCACTCAGTATTAAGTCATGGTGTTTTGTAGGCCCCATGCCGTATTATCTACTTGCTCAAGCCATTTTTTATCCAACAGTGACAAAAAAGGTAGTCTTCACTCCGAAACTCGGTCGCAGCATCGACGTCTACCCTGAAAAACGCACTTTCGAGAACGTAGAATTCACGCCGCGACTGGGCAGAAGGTTGCCTGAGAAAGTGCCTGTCACGCCATCGGATTCCCATGACGAAGTGTGAGTATTCTTAAATTCAATCCATTAATGATTATTTACATTATAGGTACTCTGTTGGTACGTAGTGTTAGCTAATCTGCTCGATGGACCGAAGACAAGGTGGACCAACGTCTTCATAAAGGTAGCAGGAAGGCGCTAGACGCAGGTCGCTACCAACCGGGCGATGAGTTTTTTTTTCAAGTCATATTAGTAGTGGCGTTGTAGAAGTTTAAGTAGTGTAGGTACGTGCTGTCTGCAATGTACATGCTGTGCTTGCATCTAGTAGGATCAATCTAGGCTAAGTTAGTTACCATGTTTTCATACAACTTGAATTTATGGATTGTATCCAGTTTTGCGAGCCAAATAAAAAAAATGAGGAAGCCTATAGGAGGAGGCCTATGTTCAATAGTGGACGTCCTGTGGCTGAAATAATAATTATCATTATGACGAAGGTTTTAAATTCACATCAATATACATTAGACTGATTGAATGACAACATTGACAACGTGTGGTCAGGTAAAGCAGAAAAAAAACCACTCCAACTTTTCCTGTGCATGATAAGGTGACCAAATGCTTCATATTTTGACTTTTTGTATATTATAAAGGAGGTCGTGCTCCTGTGATGGACAGTAAATTGACATGATGACGATGATGGTGATCATCGAATGATGAATGAAACTAAAAATTTCAACATTTTCAGGTATAGTTTCAAACCAGACATGGAAGAGATCATTTCCCGGCACAACTACTTCTCACCGCGACTCGGCAGAACCCTCAACTTCTCTCCTAGACTGGGGAGGGAACTAGAAGCTTCGTATGGTATGTAACAATTTATTTGTAATAAGTAATTTGTCTGTAGAATCCTAATAAAGGTCATAGTCTAACAAAGGTCACACCGTATCGCCTCACGAGTTTTCATCGCCTTTCGCGCACTGTCAACCGCGAGGCGAGGCGTTTACGTTACGTAGTGTGCGTTGGTAGTCTGGAGTTTCATACAAAGAATACTAACCGCCTCCTCTACGATCTCTTTCCGGGTTGATAAGTGTGCTACGAAATTTATACAATTATATAAATTGTCCATAAATCAAATCTTTTTTCTAAGTCATGTAGTTGTAAAGTTTACCGCAATTTCTTCTTCTAATGTTCTGTGCAGATAACTAAATAATTAATTTATAATTCTACACAAAAATAAAGAACTACCTACCATTTTAATACAGACCACCAGTTGCCATAAATAAGACAAATTCCTTTTCGAACTAAGAACGTTCATAAAAAAATCGTACGCCCCGGGAACGCCCCGCGCCTAATGTGAATGTACCTTTATAGTCCTTTAAAAGTATCTTTTTGTTCCAGACATTTACCCAGAGAAGATACGGCTAGCACGAAGCGCTAACTTGACGAAAACATAACGCGATGACCTTTACTATAAATCTTTACCGTTTTAACTGATGTTTGACGATACCTCTGTAATTTTAATACGATATTGTTTATGAAAGGGTAGTTTTTAAATAACGATGCCATTTTGTATATGAAGAATGGACCAAAGACTTTTAAGCACGGATTTTGAAATGACACTCATGCTCAAGAAAAAGTTGAAGCACGCTTTTGGTTCAAAAATACTATAATATTAACCAATCATAGGATACATGATTGAGTTTCAATCAGTGAGGTTTATAGCTACTTACATTAGTAATCGGTAAATAAATGCATCTAAAAAAGCACTCTATCTAGGCAAGTTACTAAGGATTTATCAACGCTAAGACCGAAAGAGCGCTGAAGTCTAAAGTCTGGATGAGGTAAGGAGAAAGAATGCTGCAGAGTTTAGCCCAACCTTGGGCAATGAATGGGATGAAGTGAAATCAAGCTGATGAAGTGGTTTGACTGCCAAAGGCACGTGATCGTCACAAACTGTATAGATTCTGCAGTTTGCAGTTTGTTTCTAGTCCATTCTATTATTGTCTGAAAATAGGAGTCTTTATAGGCTGGGGACTCCTAAGCTGTTTTATCTTTTTGCGAACACTTAGAGCTTGTAGATTTGTTTTTAAATGGACTAGTCATGCTAAAGTCTCGATTCAAACTCAAGCAAAGATTTAATTTGATTGTTTGAAAAGGCAAAAAGTTAAAAACCAAAGGCTGTCATTTGTTCTTGAGCAAAGATTCTATGTTAGTGTCATTTCAGAATACTTGCCCCTGGCTCTTTTTCTTCTTCAAGCAGTCTATTAAAATTGATCTCTTGGATTCTTTCTACTTCTTATTGACTCGTCTCACGCTCTAAGAGCTTTTTGAAATGACCGTTTTTCAAAGTAGATAGGTACTTAATAGCAGATCCGTCCATCGAGTCGGTTTTCTTTCATGCCCTATCTTTTTTCAATGAGGTTGCAATACCAGACGTTTTTTTAATGTCTCAGACTTAGGATCCTTAATAATTGGAAAATTAATGTTTTTTTATATCATGCCCTATTTTTGTTTTATGAGGTTGCAATACCAACAAAAGTACCCTAGACTCTTTGTTCTTCGTAGACTAAAAAGGACTAAAGTAAAAACTAAATTAACTTATAACGGCGTCTTTCTAAAGTTAAGCGGTCAAAAAAATTGCATTATTTTACAATTTATGACGTAAAATGTAAAAAAAATGGCCGCTTCATACCTCATTCTTAGATTGTAACACATTAATGTTTTGGACGATATTATTGTTATAAAATACGTATACATTAAACTAGATTGTAAGCGATATTTATGAGAATTTAATAAAAAACAATTGCCAAAAATTACTTGTATTTATTTACCTGTGTAAACTACGTAAATTAGTTTAAAGCTGTTGTTAGTGGAGCCTCGACAATATATGTACCTACCTATTTTGGAGTTATTTAGCCAATTTCTTTATTACCAATATTAAAAATAACCCTGTCGGACATAATTCATTTTTGCAAGAACTTTCAATTTAATCCACATCAAGTATGTGTAATACACATTGTGTATTTCGTACGCCCCACTTACTCCCCGTAAGGTGAGTAGGGTACCTTTAGTGTATTAATTACCTAAATGCATTAAACTTTTGCGAGCACCTAACCAGTTTCTTAAAGATAAATAACATACAAAGAAATAAAAACTTACATTTTCATTTCAATTCACAATTTAAACAATAAAAAACACTACTTCACCTTATCTAAAATGTAGCGACATTTTATAGGCTGCTGCAAGATTTTTATAAATAAATAAAACGAATATGAATTCATATTTTCTTGGGACACAAGCTTGTGAGTAAATGTGCATATTTACTTAAGTCCTTTTTTAAAATTAAAACTAAGTTAGCCCCGTGGTTCTGGCTGAGTAGAATTTTAAACTCTCTCGTGTGAGAAAAGATAATCTTTTTTTATTTTTGGATACTAGCTGGAGGACAAAGCGAGAAAAATTGTCACTAGGCACCCAAATAGCAAAGGGGTCCCTTGCCCTTGCTAAGTGAGTGCCATCACAGCCTAGGCTATCAAAAATTCCTAAAGATGTGAAAGTTACGACCGAAGACGCACCAAAAGACATTTGGGATCTATCGAGACAAAATGCCGATGAAGACAAACCAATTTTGTAGCTTTTTTATTTTTTACAGACATATCATCAATAGTGATCATCCAGACGCATTGCTATGTTCTTCTGGCAGCCAACTTGGACGATTTCAAGTCAATAGCGAAGAAATTCGTGCCTGATACGCTAGCCAACCAGCTGGCAGACTTGGCCTCACAATCAGGTGTCAAATATCGCCAGGAATCGTCGTTCCATGAGACGTCAGAGAGCAAAAGCGAAGAGCATGAAGCTAAAAGGGTACCCCGAGACAAAAGCGTCGAGAAAGAGACAAAAAACGTGAAATACGCAAAGATTAACTTTGAGGAGCTGGTACAAAAGGTCAAGGAAAGAATACAAAAGGATTTGGAGGTACAGAAGATAATAAAAGTAACGAAAAAAGACACAGAACAGTATTATAGTGAAGAGTTGCCGAAAGCCAGTCGTTTCGTCAACGAGAGAAGAAAAACCACGAAATCTGTTAGACAACCGAAGAAAGAAAGAGAGGAAGGTGATGATGGGATGACTTTCGCCAAAATTGAAATGAAAAGAAATGACAGCTACGAAGATTACGTCATCCCCCAAAAAGAAGAAGATATCTTTGAAAGCGATGTCGAGAAACTGGCTGACTTCCCAACTACTTACAAACAACTGTCTAAACACACTACCCAAGCTACAGAAAGGCCTGTAGAATACGAATATGAGAAGACAGAAGAAATGAAAGCAAAGACCGAAGATTTGTGGTACGATTATAAACAAACGAATGCTACAGAAGATTACAAGGATACAGCACCTCTAAAAAGTAGTACGAAGAAGAATAAAGGTACAATGATACCGAAAAGAGATTTCTACAAAATGAGCAGCCCGAATTATTTTGCGAAGGTACCAATTGTAGCTGAGAAGTACGATTTTGATGAACCACTCCCGGAAAAAGATAGGGAGCCTGAGAATTTGCAGCCTGTGAGAGGGTTACCACTACCGTCGAACATTAACGGTAAAATTAAATTGAGTTAAGACATACAAATTCTAATTATTATTAAGTGAGCTCTTAACGCAGTCAGTGCCTGAGGTATGTTAGCGTCAAGATAGGTGATATTGACGTATTATGACGTGACAGATCATACAAATCTACACACATTTTTCACAAGTCTCGCTGACGTTTTGACGTCTCAAACACCCTCCCGTGCTGCGCTCCCATACCTCAGAAAGAAAGAAAATCATATATTTTGGTTCCAACTTAACATCAACAACACAGATTAAAAGTAAGAATGTACAAGTAGTTTGAACCAAAATTGGCCACCGCTCAGCATGGGTCCATGCTCTGTGGTAATAAAACCCAGAACATGGCGCTGTTATTCTGCGGAAACCATTTTTTGGAGAGAGCGGCAGGAATCATAAATAGTATTGTTGACTCGCCCTATTTATTGAGTAAGTTGTCTTTCAGGTGTTCTAGACCTAACGCAAGACACGGAAAAACTTTTATGACGCCTCTATGTAGGACTAATTATACAAATAACTGTTTTGTCATTAGAGCCTGCAAAAAGTATGACAGTGATTATGGTCACGTTGACATATTTCACGAGAGGCCTATGCGGTTCCGTGGCCTAATAAAGGCATAAAATGTGTATTAATACACCTACAAATAAAAGTTTTCCTAATAAAGAAAAATAAAATAAAATACTAGCCTACAACTATTAGCACAAATGAGACAACACACCAAAAAAAAAAACACAAACAAAAGAGAACTGTGAGAGACTGAGTTAAGCACTAGATCTATACAGGGTGGAAACGTTAAGTGATCTCACTCGATTATTTCTAAACTATACAAGATATCGAAAAACTGATTACTGATCCTGAAAGTGCTTTATGAGCTCTTTCAAACGGTACCAATAATAGGTTACAGAATAAACTGGATCTATTTGAAAATTCAATGTTTCCAGCTTCCATACTAAATGTACCTATGCCAGACACAACAATATTAGAAGATTATTTTTATTTATTTAATAATAAACTCTTAAAATAATCTCGTAAATTGTATTCTTATTTAAAATTATTCATGGAAAACATTGGTTTAGGCTTTACTTGCTATAATATTGTCAAGAGATGAGTGTCATGACTGTGGTGGTACTAAATGTATGGAAGAAGGAAACATTGAATTTTTGGATAGATCCAGTTTATTATGTAACCTATTATTGATACCATTGGATAGAACTTGCAAAGCACTTTTAGAATCAGTAATCAGTTTTACGATATCATGTGTAGTTTTTAAAATAATGTGACTTTACCAAATGTATGGAAGCTGGAAACATTGAATTTTCGGATAGATCCAGTTAATTCTGTGACCCATTATTAATACCGTTTGATAGAGCTCATGAAGCACTTTCAGGATCAGTAACTAGTTTATTGATGTCTTGTATAGTTTAGAAATAATCGAGTGAGATCACTTATCGTTTCCACCCTGTATACCCAATTTCGCAAATCGTCAGGGCGCTATTGATGGGAGGGACAAGGGATCACTATTCGCATACTGAATCACAACCCGACCAAGCTAGCTGCGCAACTCGCTGGAATGCGACTCTCCTTCGCACTCACCCACTCTCCTCCCCGCTCGTCCCGTCCGTATCAGAGCGGTGACGTGACGTCACGGCTGACAAGTGCGCAGTTAACTCGACTCGCAGTTAGCTTGCCTTACCACCAGTTCAGGACAACATACAGGGTGGAAACGATAAGTGATCTCACTCGATTATTTCTAAACTATACAAGATACCAAAAAACTGGTTACTGATCCTGAAAGTGCTTCACGAGCTCTTTCAAACGGTATCAATAATAGGTTATAGAATAAACTGGAACTATCCGAAAATTCAATGTTTCCAGCTTCCATACTAAATGTACCTATGCCAGACACAACAATATTAGAAGAGTATTTTTTTTAATTTAATAATAAACTCTTAACATAATCTCGTAAATTGTATTCTTATTTAAAATTATTCATGGAAAACATTGGTTTAGGCTTTACTTGCTATAATATTGTCAAGAGATGAGTGTCATGACTGTGGTGGTACTAAATGTATAGAAGAAGGAAACATTGAATTTTTGGATAGATCCAGTTTATTATGTAACCTATTATTGATACCATTGGATAGAACTTGCAAAGCACTTTTAGAATCAGTAATCAGTTTTACGATATCATGTGTAGTTTTTAAAATAATGTGACTTTACCAAATGTATGGAAGCTGGAAACATTGAATTTTCGGATAGATCCAGTTAATTCTGTGACCCATTATTAATACCGTTTGATAGAGCTCATGAAGCACTTTCAGGATCAGTAACCAGTTTTTCGATATCTTGTATAGTTTAGAAATAATCGAGTGAGATCACTTATCGTTTCCACCCTGTATACCCAATTTCGCAAATCGTCAGGGCGCTATTGATGGGAGGGACAAGGGATCACTATTCGCATACTGAATCACAACAAGACCGAGCTAGCTGCGCAACTCGCTGGAATGCGACTCTCCTTCGCACTCACCCACTCTCCTCCCCGCTCGTCCCGTCCGTATCAGAGCGGTGACGTGACGTCACGGCTGACAAGTGCGCAGTTAACTCGACTCGCAGTTAGCTTGCCTTACCACCAGTTCGGGACAACATAATATGGCTGGTGCTGAGAAGTAGGGATGTTATGGATAATTATGTAGTTTCGGTTATGGATACGGTTACGGATATAGGAATAATATTATACCGGTTTCGGTTACGGTTACGGATATTTTTTTATTTGGGATATCCGAAAGTTTCGTGTTACGGTTACGGATATCTGTAGCTTTAGAATGCAATTTGCAATAAGTAGTTGTCCGACACGGTTCAATCATGGCCGCACACTTTACATCGAATAAAAAGTAATAAAAATTGATACTAGATGGCATTATGAAGGTAAATCAAGCTGTTAAATCCTTTACATAGTATAATGCTATACAAAAAACAATTTAAACTGCCTTCATCCGAAAACGCAAACGTGGTCGACCCAGGCAAACTTGGCGGCGCACTGTAGCGGACGAGGCGAAGAAGATCGGCAAGACCTGGAGCGGGATCAAGCGAGAAGCTCAAGACCGAACGAGATGGAGGACTGTTGTGGACGCCCTCTGCCCCATCTAGGGGACATAGGACCATAAGTCAAGTAAGTCCGAAACTATCCGAAACTTTTGAATCGGTTACGGTTTCGGATATATTTTTATTTCGAATATCCGAAAGTTTCGGTTACGGTTACGGATATCCATAACATCCCTGGTGCGCAGTTAACTCGACTCGCAGTTAGCCTGCCTTCCCACCAGTTCGGGACAACATAATATGGCTGGTGCTGAGAAGTAACGGAAAAAATCTGTCTGTTCGAAATAAACTCTTTCTATTAGAGTAATTTCTTTATTAGCTAAAAAGATATCATCAAAAAGCATGAAATGTTCTTGTTTTCAACAATTTTTGTCGCTTGTTTCGGAGCACGTGGTTCTTGGAGTGGTAAGCTTCGCATACCGGATCGCTCTTGAGGTTTTGGTTGACCCTGTAATCAATTGAGAAGGATAAATAAGCACTATTTAGTGCCCTGAAGGGTAGACACTTGAAAACTTTAGACAGTTTTTCTATTGTTAAAAATTTCTTAGCGATTAAAGTCGCTTCTAAAACTAAGTTATTAATAAATAACTTGAAAAAATCGAACGCAACCGCAACAGCGTATTACGAAAATTTCGACGGGTAGAGCCAGTGTCTAAGTAGCTCAGATGGAAGAGCAGTCGCCCGGCAAGTGAAAGGTCGTGATTTCGATTCCCGCCTTAGGCAGTTCGATTTTTTAGCGACGAGACCCACGAAGATGAGACCCTCGAAGATGCCATTTTTGCCTCTGACTTTGAAGCTACGCTCCACTACGCACTACGCTCCTGCAGTGGAGACTAAACGACCTGATGATGAAGAAAAACCAACCTCATTCTTCGGATACCTTGATGCGTGCCATCAAATTTCCCTCTAAAGCCTGGTCCGTGAGCACGTAGAATCCTGTCCAATGACCCCAAGCTACCCATCCCTATCGCTCGCGTGCAATTATATTGCTGTCGCGACTGTGCGACGGGCGCCCGCAGTGAGTGTGCGAGCGCGACAGCAGCAAGCTCGGGGTCACCGGACAAAATTCTACGTGCTCACGGACCAGGCTTTAGTAAATTAGAAGGTCGTCCTCCTGCAATGGCAACTAAATGACCTGATGATGATCAACGTACCTCCATACTCGGAAACCTTGATGCAAGGCGGCCGGAATATCTTCGCTTGTTTGAGCAAGTTCGTCGTGTTGCCTATGTCCAGGTGCCAACTGGCTAAAAGGGCGCGCACTCCGTGGATGATGTTCTTGAAAGTGTGAGGTTTATCTATAAGAAGACAGTGTCATTTTATAAACAGCAAATTGATCAGCGTCAAAGCAAAATCAAAATTTCTTTATTTGTAAAGACTATTAGCGGCCGCCCGCGACTTCGTATGCGTGGATCTCGTTTTACCCCCTTAGGGGTGGAGTTTCGTAAAATACTTTCTTAGCGTCATAACATCTACCTGCATGCCAAATTTCAGCTCGATCCGTCCAGTGGTTTGGGCTGTGCGTTGATAGATCACTATGTCAGTCAGTCAGTCAGTCACCTTTGAGTTTACCAAACATGAGGTAATTATGAATAATTACCAGGCCTTTGTCCAGCAGTGGACGTCATTTGGCTGAAACGAACAAACCTCATGATTTGGTAAATGTGATTAATATGAAATGATGAAATCATTTTGTTACTTACTGTGTCATCTTGTTAATAAAAAGGCGGCGTTACGTTTTACCTTCGTTTGAACTTGCTGTCAAAACGATACCGCGATACGGATTTGCCTAAAAGCTGATTGTCGTTCGTAGTCCAGTCGCGTTGCAGTTGAACATTTTTAGCGTGATCGGGGCCCTCTGGTGCGAAGTTAACTCGACCGGTTTAGGTACTTTAGCTTACCTTTGACAATGACTGATAATAATGCAGCAATAGAGCCCACATCCCACTGGAATAGCCTTATTTGAATGTTGCTTATTTGATACAGAATCGAGTAGATCTCTTCTTTAGTGTGCCCTGTGGTGTTCATGCTTAATAACTGCAGTAATCTATGATAAATAAGAAATAAACTTAAGTATTTTAATAGCTAAGTACTCCCGACTCAAGAAACATAAAAGTTAAAAATAAGGTTGTCCTTGAAAGTACTGTAATATGAGGAAATTATAAATAATATTTATAATTTCCTCATATTACAGTAGGTACTTTTGAAGGCATAATAATATTATTATGTCTTCAAAAGACGATAATAAATAAAACTTTAATTTCAAAATGTATAATGATCCCTCTGTAATATGGAACCCCAAAAATGAAGACGTTCCGTCTTCTTCTTTTTTGCTCCTTGCCTCCCGAACCCATCTGGCCAGCGTGGGGAGTAGGTCAAATCCTCCATTTGCCTCCGGTAAATTAGAGAGGGTCATGTTAGATGACCAATGAACCAGGTATGTTATGGATATCCGTAACAGTAACCGAAACTTTCGGATATCCGAAATAAAAAAAATATCTCTAACCGTAACCATAACCGATTCAAAGGTTTCGGATAGTTTCGGATGTAGGCAGAGTCAAGCAAGTCCCTATGCTGATTTAATGATTTCATTTTGAAGTACATACCTAGTAGGTACATGAGTTTTTTCCCATATAAAGATAAAAGCTTTTTGTGAGACCAAAAGAAGGTGACAGATGCCAAAGAAATCTCTTCTGTGCCCATTCTATTCGTAAGGCATGAACTGTGTTGGACAATTATTGGAATCTACACTATTGCATTCTATACTTAGCACAGAAATATCCGTAATACGTAACCGTAACCGAAACTTTCGGATATCCGAAATAAAAAAATATCCGTAACCGTAACCGGTATAATATTATTCCAATATCCGTAACCGTATCCATAACCGAAACTACATATCCTTAACATCCCTATATGAACGGTCAAGCTGTAGTGTAGATCCTGGCTACACAGGAGTTGCAGCGATGGGAACAAGAGGTAGGAGTATTCCCGTACCTAAATAATGATGATAATGTTCTAACTCACCTTGTAACCGAATGGTCTTCGGTAGTCAACCGCTTAGTGAACGTCAAGTCAGTTTTGTACCCCGTTATGAATGGAGTGATCAAATCTTGACAGTGAAGCCATTCTATGGGTGAATTCATATCTCCCAGGATCCTTCTGTAGAAACTGTCGATCGGTTTGACTACGTGCTGTTTAATTTTAACCGTATTAGTAATAGATCTAAATATTTTAGGCGTCTCTACAGATTGAGGTTTGCGCGTAGTCACAATTTCTCTCAGCTTAAACCTGTCTTTCTTTTTGCGTATATCATTATCATTTATAGGTGTGATTGGAAGCTTTTCTATGTCTACGTAAGTGTATTCATCTGATTTGGAGTTGATAGGTTCTTGCCTCAAAAATTGGAGCTTGGATTTTCGCTGTTTTTCTAGAATTTGCTCGGCGATTTGACGTTTTAGTACGTTCACCCTGTCGTGCACGCTTAGGGTCACTTCGGTGGTCTTTTTTTGGTCAGCTGGTGCTGTGAAATCAAATCAAATTACTTGATATTTGATGATAATTTGGTATAGTGATAGTTTGAGACTTAGAGAAAAATATAGGATACCTATACTCAACATCAAATAAACCGCACCTTCCGCGACGCGAACTTTAACGATTTTCTTCTGACACAATCATGGTGCCCCAACAATATTGGTGTTATTTGAAAGCCCAATAAATATCCTTAAATAAAAACACATTTGATTTCTTAATAACTTATTAACATATACCATAAATATGACTTGAAAAAATACCTCACTTTGGGCCCACCTATGGGATCAATTAGACATTTTTACGGATAAAACCAAATAATGATCTCACGTGTCCTCTTTAACAGATGGATAGCGATTAATCCCAACTTAACAGTTTTATAGCCATAAAAGATGGCTCTAGCGTAACTACCTATTTTTTGAAGAAGTGACTCTGGATCCTTCTAAACACATTTTTGGGGTAAAAACCTTTCCTTTAATGAAATGAAGGTTAGAACTAGGCTTTTAAATGGTGCCAATATTGGTGGGAAGTGGGGATGCATACGTTTGAAAATGCTTGTCGCGGAAGGTGCGATTTATTTGATGTCGAGTGTAGTTTTTGAAAGAGATACCGATATTCAAGAGGGTAAATTAAGCTAGTTAACTACTCAAATTAATCTTAATAGGTACTTACCGAGAACAAAAATATAAATCATAATACAGAAATATTTCATTTTCAAAACTTATTTTACGTACAAAAACTTATTGCCTAATACGTATAGTGTACAAAACGTTTCAGATAGCTTGATTAAATTCATTCAACCATTTTTCAACCAACCTTTTCGATATCAAAACCTCTACCACACAGCTGCTATACTAACACCCGTTTTCACAAACATTACTATGAGGTCTCACAGTGCGCGTGGACGCATAGGGTCCCAAAAACCTATTCATCGACAATACTTGAGTGGCGGAGTGACACACACGAACCAATCACAGAGCTCTATTCAACGCTGTGCATTGACTTCGCAATGCGTTGCTGATTCACATAACTGTGATTGGTTCGTGTGTGACCCTGCGCGTCCACGCGCACTGTGAGACCTCATAGTAATGTTTGTGAATACGGGTGTTAGTACTTTTCTACTTATCAGCCTGTCTGTACTAAAATGAATAAAAATAACCATAAAATAGAAGACACTCTTCACAAATTGTAACTCCTTGAAGAAACTACGAAATTTTAAACCATATTTTGTGTGATGAGGCTCCGAGCTCCGAGTTTCTTGCGCTGCTTCTTTGCAGCTCTGGCCCATTATTGTCCCGAAAGCAATGGTAGGATTATGTTTAAAAAGATAAATTGCCACATGCAAATAAAAAGCCAAATTGCTGGCAATAAATGAGTTTATTGAATTCTTAAACTTCTTACAGACTACAAACTTTGTCGACCGATTATTTAATCGGGCTGTTACAATATGAACAAGTATGGAAATGCACATTACACCGATTTGGAATCGGCCGATTTCTCTTGCAAATTGGAAGCCTGTCAAACTACTTACAACCCGATGGAGCAAGCTGCGCACCTCGCTAGAATGAGACTCTCTCTCTCTATCGCACTTAATCGCACACCTTTGTACTTGCATCGAATAAATACTTTTCTTTCTTTCTTTCTTTCCCGCGTTCGCTCCATCCGTACAAAAGCGGCGACGTGACGTCACGGCAGCCAGATGCAAAGTTAACTCGACCGGGTTGCAAGAGGCCGACTAGAAGTCTGTAATCTGCGGGAGTCATTTCAAACTGTATAATTTTATGTTATGAACGAATAAAGATTTTTCTTTCTTATTTCTTGGACCGAGACCGAACGAACGAAATAACTGATCGCAGACGCTTCTTCTGCGGAGGGAAGAATTGGTCAGGTGCCAGTTGGAAGAGCTGGAGAATAGTGCAATAATTCAGTTCAAGTTCCTTGTATTCTGGAAAAAGAACAATTTTATAGATCTAGCACTTAACTCAGTGTGCTGTTTCGCACCACGTTAAGAAGATCGCGATGCGAATAGGACAAGATAAAGTACAAAACGTAAGCCATCTTCGGGCACACCAGCGCCGCCAAGACAGCTAGGAGTCGGAGTGGTCGCCATTTCCGATATTGGTCGGATGGATCATCATTATCATTGGGAGTCCAAATTGCCCCTCGAATATCAAGATTTGGCAGCACACACTGCAGTCCGAATCGCTCATTACAAATCCGTGGGCCATTGGCGTCGCTTCAAGTAACTGCAGAGCGAAAGCCTCATCCTAACGGTTCGTCGCGTTTCGCACCGCGGTCCGAATCTCTTGTGGTGCGAAACGACCAGAGAAATGCCAACTAATGCGCTGAGTTCGAAACTCAGTGTCGCATTAGAAATTCACACACACAAAGTAATCAAAATATGTGCTCATTATCCACGGCGGTATCAGTACTCAACGTTCGAATAATCTTTAGTACTACCCAAGCATTATGACGTCGCTGCTGTCATCATTGCTGTCACGAGCAACGTGTTCTGTCTTTGGGCATATTGCTGCGACCGGCCCCGCCCCCTTGTGACATCTCCCTTTCCTGTGGTCTGTGGAAACGACTAAAGACCCCAGTGTACAATAGGGATGTTTCCTGGGTAAAAAAGCAAGAGTTTTAATTAGTCCGTCAATTAGCTTATCAAAAACTACTCGACACGTATTTTTCACTTTTTAAAATTAATGAAAATGTAAAGAGATAAAGCGTGACAAAGTTCTAAAGAAAAGGCCCGTGACGTCAGTGAGTGCGTAAAAGTGCAGCACTTTGTGACGTTGCGCGGAACTTCAACGCACTATAATTTTTTGTTTGATCGACGATTAAAAATATACGTGTCCAATATTTTTTTTAATTATAATTGACGGACTAAAAAAATGTTTTTAGGAAACTAGCCTATTTTGGTGTTCCTTACCATGCAACGTGCCTGGTTCGCAGTTAGCTGTCTTCAGTGCGCACTTGTTCTTGAATATCACTGCGTGGTAGTCCCTGGTACTCACACCACAGACTGGGCTCTCCACGTCATCGAAGCATGGCTCGCAGTCGGTTCTTAGGAACATCACGTATTTGATGCAGAATTTTGTGTCGACATAATCGTATTCTGGAAGGCAGAAGTGACTGTTGTGAATAGTGCTTTCTCTAGTTTTTTACAAAGTGTTTAAATCGTTGGCATATCCTTTTAAAATAAGACTAAACATCAAGCTTAATACTGTGGCATCTTATTTCGATGTAATGGCAGTTTTATTTTGCAACAAAGATATTATTATACAGGGGTGAAATGAGAAGATCCGTAGGAGAACCAAAGTCCGACATAGCTCGCAGAATTGCTAAAATCAAGTGGCAGTGGGCGGGGCACATAGCTCGTAGAGACGATGGTCGATGGCCGTTGGGGCAGGAAAGTTCTCGAGTGGCGACCACGGGCTGGAAGACGTAGCGTGGGCAGGCCTACTACTAGGTGGACCGATGATCTGGTAAAGGTCGCGGGAAGAGCCTGGATGCGGGCAGCGCAGGACCGTTCATTATGGAAAACCTTGGAGGAGGCCTTTGTCCAGCAGTAGACGTCATTTGGCTGAAACGAACGAACGAACAGGGTGTAGATTTCAATCCTCGCCATATTTAGGGAGTTGATTAGTAGCTTATTCTGATTACGAATTGACTTCCTAAAAAAATTTAAAACGACCTTTTAATAATAATAATAATAATAAAATGTTTATTGCCATTAAATCAATGTACAGAGTATTCTTATGACTAGCGGCTTCTGCACTAAGCATAGCTTGTGTCGCAGGGGCCTTTTAGTTTTTACAAGAAGATTTTTACTTTGGGGTCTGAGAACACACAAGTCAGGCAATTTATTGCTATAAGAAATTAAGATTAAAACATAATAATAATAGTAACAAAGCTTACATTAATGATAATGGTATTAGTCTCTATTAAAGGATGACAAGTAAAATTACATCTTAAGTAATTATGTAGGTAGGTATAGGTATATAATTAAAATCTATTTATTATTCTTATTAATAGCTAACAAAATATGTAAATTTAGTTGTGTGTTGGGTGATATGTGTTGAGTGTTGTGTGTAAAGTGTTGTGAGTGTGTGTCTTTAGTTAGTCAAAGAAAAATACCTATTTACACTACCTACTTTACGTGGCTTTCTTCAGTAGGCTATCCGACATGATAAGCGAGCGATCCGCGTGACTCGATGGTGCCGCAGTGTAAACGTATTGCAGTATTGCGAGCCACATGACAGTGCAGTTGATGTCGCACGGAAAATATTCGCTAAAAATTCCACTTTCGTTTCTTTTTTTGGTATATTATGCGTTTATACATAAGTCATAATAGGTCACCTAAATAAATATAGAGAGGATTGAATTCAACACCCTGTATAGTCTAATATGCTGTTGACAGTACGATCGTTTTAAACTCGTTATAAGAGCACATTAATAAGATTTGTCTCATTTTTGGGGAATGTAGTACGATGTATCATGCATGCATGAGTACTTAGTTTTATATTCAAAGGATGCCAAAGATTTAAATTTCACCCTGTACATATAGATAAATTAATGTATAAACTCACTCAGATGTCCTCGATAATTCGCGCACATGTTGTTTAAAATAATGTGGCATGCGCTCTGGAACCACTTGAACTTCATGTTGTTCCTGGACAAAGGACGAAGCACACTTTTCAACCCGGAAACGGATCGTAACTGTATGGCTGGTTTCAGTGTCACGCGGACCGTCCGGTGCGGACCCGCTCCGCACGGCCAATCTGTATGAACTTCTAGGGAGCGTTTTAGAGTAATGCGGTCCGGAGGAACCGCTCCGCTCCCTAGCAGTTCATACAGATCGGCTGTGCGGAGCGATCCGCACTGACAGTCCGCGTGACACTAAAACCAGCCTATCACCTCGGTGGCGGTCAGTATTCTACGTATGAAATTCGTACTGCAACGCACACTTATCCGTACCGTAACGTAAACGCCTCGCTTCGCCTCGCGGCGAAAGGCGGTACGGGGTTGACCCCTCTCCGGGTTAATATAAGTGCGCTATGGCTATGATCTAAGAGTAAGTTTATTTTTAACCGCCTCTGTAGTCTAGTGGTAAGACCACCTGCTTCAGACGCTGAGGTCCCGGGTTCAATTCCCAGTGGGGGCAGATTTTTCTGTTCGGTTTGGTTAGTGGTAGGGCTTGTTCTAAGTCCGCCTGGCTAGCTACCACTATCGTACATAAGTCTGTCGCCATAACAACAATGTTTACAGCATTGTTGTGTTCCGGCAGTTAGAGGTAAGATAGCCAGTTCCTCCGTGGTGGAAGATTCTGGGTGAATCTCGCTTCTACCTTCGGCCTGATCGTCACTTACCATCAGGTGAGATACAGGCCAAGAGCTTCCTCGTTGTGGAAAAAAAAATCATAACCATTAAGAAAGCTCGCATAGCTAATGGCCTCTGGGGCAGAAAAGCTCTCGAGTGGCGATCACGAGCCGGAAGACGTAGTGAGAGCAGGCCTCCCACTAGGTGGACCGACGATCTGGTGGATGAAGGTCGCGGGAGGTGTCTGGATGCGGGAGGCACAGGACCGGTCTTTCACGCAAAAACTACTGAATGCATTTTTATGAAACTTTACAGTATTATTCTTTATAACCCAGAATAACATATAGGCTATAATTTATGACGATCTGTGACAAACTAAATTTCACGCGGGTGAAGCCGCGGGTAAAAGCTAGTTATAAAGGTACCTGTTCAGCCCACATGCTGTCTTGTGATTGTCGTTGCAATGGTAAGGGTCACAGTAATCCATCCAAACGGGGTTGAACGGCTTACGAGTCCGGTTGAAAAAATCCTCAGGCAGCTGTGGCTTTTTCATGACTAAAATAGATAAAAACCCGGTTGAGTTAAGGTATAAGTCCAATATGGGCTGCAGACTGCAATCGCAGGCGAACACAGATCACAAAACTAAAGGGAGATGTGACAAGCGGGCGGGGCCGGTGTCGCAGCAATGAGCAATATGCCCAAAAACAGAACACATTGCTCGCGAAAGCAATGATGACAGCAGCGACGTCATAATGTAAACAGTTTACAGAGTACTGATACCGCAGTGGTTAATGAGCACATATTTTGATTTCTTTGTGAGTGTGAATTTCTAATGCGACATTGAGTTTCGAACTAAGCGCATTAGTTGGTATCTCTATATATCGCTATGCAGGTGACTCTGCGCCTAGATTTTGCGACTGCGTTTGACCGCATTTCATATAGGCAATTTCATAGAAACCGTGGTGGCTTGCAGTTTGAAAGCAAGAAAGAAAGAAAAATATTTTTATTCAGTTTGCGGTCTGCAGTCCATCTTGAATTTGACTTGTACCTTTAACTGCGCACCTGACGGCCGATTCCAAGAACAGCGTAAATAAAATCTATATATATAAAAGAAAGTCGTGTTAGTTACTCCACTTATAACTCAAGAACGGCTGAACCGATTTAGCTGAAAATTGTCAGGGAGGTAGTTTAGAGCCAGGAGAAGGACATAGGATACTTTTTATCCCGTTCGAAATTAAAAAAAAGTCTGCTTATTTATTGCCATTAAGGCGGAACAAAGTTCGCCGGGTCAGCTAGTTAATAATAAATGTAACTTACCTTTAAATCTGTCTCTCACGAAGTTCGGATTATCAAACTTTGGTGCTGGCCTGAAATAACAATACATACAAACATTATCATCATCATCTCAGCCACAAGACGTCCACTGCTGAACATAGGCCTCCCCCAATGATTTCCACATCGCCCGGTTGGTAGCGGCCTGCATCCAGCGTCTCCCTGCAGTTCCTGCTACCTTTATGAGATGAACAAGTAACTAACTAACGCCCTTATTCACAAACATTACTATGAGGTCTCACAGTGCGCGTGGACGCACAGGGTGACACATAAACAAGCAGAGCTCCATTCAACGCTGTGCGTTCAATTTGCTGCTTCACCATTTGTGAATACGGGCGACAGAGCTCTAATTCAACGCTGTGCGTTCGATTTTCTGCTTCATTTAAACAAGCATCGTTTGTGAATACGTGCGTTAGATTCTCGCCCGTAATCACAAACGTTACTATGAGGTCTCACAATGCGCGTGGACGCACAGGGTGACACGTGAACCAATCACAGAGCTCTATTCAACGCTGTGCGTTCGATTTCCGCAAGCATCGTTTGTGAATACGGGCGTTAGATTCCGTCCCTTGGTTGGTCCAAACTTAGGTATCGCATTTTTTAGTAAACAATTTTTATAATAATGTCAATTAATGGGAAAAAAATACTTACTTTGATATGTTGTATGGTTTTGTTTTTCTACCTAGAATCATTATAAAACTTGATATAAAACTTGGAAAATTACATTTATAGGTATTTTTTCGTAAGTTGCATACGTAGATGTCGTAAGAGGCGACTAAGGGACAAATATGCGAACATCAGGCCTCCCCAACCCGTCTGGCCAGCGTGGGGAGTGTAGGACAAATCCTCCATTTGCCTCTGGTAAATTAGAGGGTCGTGCTCCTGCAGTGGAGACTAAATGACCTGATGATGATGATGATTGCTTGCTTGATGGTATCACGTTCCACTGCAACAAATCTCATCCCGTTTGTCCAACTGGTTGCTGGGTCTCTCGACTCCCGTATCCCGGTCGATACTATCTACACTGACATAAGCAAAGCTTTTGACACAGTCGATCACAAAATTTTACTAAATAAACTATCTAACTTTGGCATTACTGGCAGTCTTCTTGAGTGGTTTGAATCATATCTCGGACAGCGGGAGTCAAGAGTCGTCATGAGAGGTTTCTCATCGGAGTCGTTTCATGCTACTTCAGGAGTGCCGCAGGGTTCGCATCTTGGGCCAATACTCTTTAATATATTTATAAACGACATGACTACAGTGTTCGACCATGCCTCTTGCTTCCTTTATGCAGACGACATGAAACTCTGTATGCAGATCAAAGATGTTAGCGACTCACATCTTTTGCAAAAAGATCTTGATAGGTTGTCTCAGTGGTGTAGTTTAAATAAATTGTACCTAAACACGGAGAAATGTAAATTTATTCGTTTCACGAGAAGTAGGGAAAGTCCATCGCCGGTATACAGTGTCAACGGGCAAATTTTGCAGGAAGTGGAGTCGATTCGCGACCTGGGGGTCATTATGGATAAGAACCTGCGCTTTCACAAGCATATCGATCATGTCGTCACAAGAGGGTTTAGGATGCTTGGTTTTGTATTGCGAAACGCAAAGGAATTTAAAAAGTCTTCCTCTAAAATACTGCTGTACGTGACTCTTGTTCGTTCAGGTCTTGAGTACTGTAGTCAGGTTTGGTCTCCTCACTATGATGTTCATGTGAAGCGAATTGAGCGCATCCAGAAGCGGTTCATGTGGCATCTCTCATATCAGACCGGGAAGGCCAGGAGTCTTCCGAAGTAATCATTCCGATTTTCAAGTCCGGTGACGCTGCTTCTGTGAAAAACTACCGACCCATCTCTATACTGTCAGTTTTTAGCAAGGTATTCGAGTCCTTAGTCTGCCCTTATTTATCGTGCCACATAAAACACTTGATTTCACCTCAGCAATCTGGCTTCATGGTATCACGTTCCACTGCAACAAATCTCATCCCGTTTGTCCAACTGGTTGCTGGGTCTCTCGACTCCCGTATCCCGGTCGATACTATCTACACTGACATAAGCAAAGCTTTTGACACAGTCGATCACAAAATTTTACTAAATAAACTATCTAACTTTGGCATTACTGGCAGTCTTCTTGAGTGGTTTGAATCATATCTCGGACAGCGGGAGTCAAGAGTCGTCATGAGAGGTTTCTCATCGGAGTCGTTTCATGCTACTTCAGGAGTGCCGCAGGGTTCGCATCTTGGGCCAATACTCTTTAATATATTTGTAAACGACATGACTACAGTGTTCGACCATGCCTCTTGCTTCCTTTATGCAGACGACATGAAACTCTGTATGCAGATCAAAGATGTTAGCGACTCACATCTTTTGCAAAAAGATCTTGATAGGTTGTCTCAGTGGTGTAGTTTAAATAAATTGTACCTAAACACGGAGAAATGTAAATTTATTCGTTTCACGAGAAGTAGGGAAAGTCCATCGCCGGTATACAGTGTCAACGGGCAAATTTTGCAGGAAGTGGAGTCGATTCGCGACCTGGGGGTCATTATGGATAAGAACCTGCGCTTTCACAAGCATATCGATCATGTCGTCACAAGAGGGTTTAGGATGCTTGGTTTTGTATTGCGAAACGCAAAGGAATTTAAAAAGTCTTCCTCTAAAATACTGCTGTACGTGACTCTTGTTCGTTCAGGTCTTGAGTACTGTAGTCAGGTTTGGTCTCCTCACTATGATGTTCATGTGAAGCGAATTGAGCGCATCCAGAAGCGGTTCATGTGGCATCTCTCATATCAGACCGGGAAGGCCAGGAGTCTTCCGAAGTATGGGGAACGTTTGGCTCATTTCGGACTGCACAGCTTGCAAGATCGCAGACAACTCTTGGATCAGATACTTCTGCACAAGATCATAAACGGCGTGGTGGACTGTCCAAAGTTGTTGGAATCCATCAACCTAAATGCCCCTTTCAAGTTACCTCGACGCGCAAGATACGTACCCTTTTTAGTGCAGGGTTCCAAAAGCAACCTGGGTCATCATGCCACCATGAATAGGCTTCAGAGGCAATATAATAGGTGCAGTAAGGAGGGAGATATAGATATCTTTTCTGACTCGCTGGGGAAATTTAAGAAAAAAATACAACTCTCATTTGCACATGTGTCCGTTTAGCCAAGATCTGCCAGTTAAATTTGAGGTTTAAAATTGTTCAGAATGGAAATAAATTAAATTAAATTGAATATTGTGTCAAAATCAGCTGTACGTTTAAGTTTAATATTCTGTCAAAGTCCACTTTTGCATGCCGTGGCAGCCTGTAATTAAGATAGCACCTAGTCCTAAGACAAAATTATGTATGTAAACCCCTTTGCTTGAATTTGTGTCTGTCTTGTTGGTTGTCCTAATTAAATAAATAAAAAATAAATAAATGATGATGATGAAATATTATTATTAATACTTACAATCAACTAAAACAATTTGAGCCATAACGCACACAATACAACTATACAATATTGGACCCATTTTAATTTTGATTTATACTCAAATGTAACGTTTTAAGTCACATAAAATTACTAATCAGGAAGTAATTAACTACTCATTGACTTTTATTATGATTACGAAGAAATAATTTTCTACTTAATGCGGTCATAAATTCATTAATGAGCGTTTTCTAATTACGCTCACCAGTTGGCGCCACTGTCGAAACACAGTGGCGCCACTGTCGAAAGGGCCCTCGCCCACGGCGACTTTTTGTAGCGATGCAGTCACGCTGCTGTAGCGTGTTAGTAGCGCGTTGGCATCACTTCTGTAGTGCATTGCAAATGGAATCTGTCGTAAACTTAATCTGTCCTAAACAGAATCTGTCCCTAACCGAATAAAGGATGCGACTAACGCTCGTTCATCATCATTTCAACCATATGACGTCTACTGCTGAACATAGACCTCCCCCAATGATTTCCACAATGGCTGGTTGGTGGCGGCCTGCATCCAGCTCCTTCCCGCTACCTTTATGAGGTCGACGGTCCACCTATTCTTACGCTGCGCTTTTCGGTACGTGGCCTCCACTCCAGTGTGCTTACCATGAGTTTACGTTAGGTGTGCTCGCTAGCGAATACGTCAAAAAAATCTATGAAGATTTCATTTCTTGAAAGTAGCCGCTAGGGGCGCTGCACAATACATAATGTCATACATTTAATGTCATATTTTTACGCAGTCGCTAGCGAGCACACCTAACGTGAACTCATGGTAAGCACACAGAACCTTGCTGCCACATCGGCCGTCAGTTTCGCGTTAGTAGCGATGAAAAGTCGCCGTGGGCGGGGGCCCTAAGGTCCTCTCTCCCGCTTGTGGCTAAGACAGTGGCGCCAACTAGTGCGGAAGCGGTAGGACCATCGCATTTGCAATCACTAAAGCCCGGTCTCCGAGCACGTAGAATTTTGTCTAATGACCCCATGCTGATGCTACCCATCCTTATCGCACGCGCGTAATTATGTTGCTGTCGCGCTCGTACACTCACAGCGGGCGCCCGTCGCAGTCGCGACAGCAATATAATATGAGCGAGCGATAAGGATGGGTAGCTTGGGGTCATTGGACGAAATTCTACGTGCTCGGCGACCAAACTATAGTTGGCGCCACTGTCAAATACGTCCTATTACTCGTTTGTGGCTAAAATAGTGGCGCCAACTCGTGAGCCCTGAAGCGGTAGGACCATCCATTTCAGTCACCAGTTGGCGCCAAAGCCACTAGTTCATAAATAAAACAAATTATTAGCAAAATAATAAGTTTATTCCAATTTCATCAGAAATAACAATCGATAAATCGATATATTATATCACAATTTGCTTATTCTATAATTATCACAATATTATAGGTACTAGCGCTTAACCCAGTCAGTCCCTGAGGTATGGGAGCGCCACGGGAGGGGTGACATTGACATATTATGACGTGACAAGGCATACAAATCTGATTATGAAGTCTCGCTGACGTTTGATGTCTCAAAATAACCCTACCGTAGATTTCCGTGGAGGGTAGTAGAACGGGAAGCATGGTCGATCTCTCAGATCATAGAAAGAGAATAGATATGAAGTCGCGCGTAACTACAACGAGAACCAGTGTCCCCACATTTCCCCCACCACAGCTCCCACACACACATTCAACTGTGTAAAAACAAAGCGACTGAGAGTCTACGACAACATGTGCAACCGGCTTAAAAGTGCTGTGATTGGCCAGAAGGCGTGCCTTATGGCCAATCAATGGCCGGGTTACGTGACCCACACTTTGAAAAAAGCAATTAGAGAGAAGAAAGATAATATGGAGTCGATAAGATATGGGCCATTCTTATTCTTACGCATTTTTGTGTGAGATGTAAGAATAGCATATGTTTTTAAAGAAAATCAGTGCACTGTATATTAATTTACTTAGTAAAATACCTCTATTAACTAGGCCCAATATAATTTTTATCATAAAACTATTAGAAGAATATTAAAAAGAAGTTACAAGTCCAAAATGTCACGGACCGTGTAGTGTGAGATTCCCGGATTTGGACATACAATATTTTTTTCTGAAGAGATGTTATGTTATTTTGATAAATATTACAGTAATTATGCAAGATTAATACATGTTATATAAGACTGTTAAAAATTTATATCAATAATAATTACCATTTTTGATTTTGAACACCAAACATTGTGTGAGCAGTTTTTGTGTCACAACCACGTGCGCCACTTTAAATATGCGTAACTCGGTAAAAAACTATCTTTGATATTGACATCCCTTGCTAAGTTTTTTTAGAACAGTAACATTGTCATCTTATTAGATTTGCAAATGGCTGAACGTAGTGAGTGAGCCGATTATTTCCGCGGTTCATTAATCGATTGCAGTGAATACTTAGTTATTAAAAACATCACAAAAATCAACTATATTTTTCGATTATTGACTTTAAGAACGCATTAAAAATAAATTAATAGTTTTTAATTTAAAGAAACAGAACCAGTACTTTTTAGGATTGTCTCGTTTTTTCAAACACGAACCATGAAATTTGAATATTATCAATAAAAAAATGTTACAATAATATTTTTAATTAAAAAAAAACATGTTTTTTGTTAAATAACACCTATACAAAATATTTCTCTAAAAGTAGGTTTTACTAACTCTTCGAAAAAAATCGATAGATAAATCGCTATGGTTTAGTTATGTGACATCTCTAAATCTTTCAAACTCGAAACGTCATACGGATCATCTTAGGTGAAAAAGACTATAAATGAAGTTACCTTATATTAATTTACCCCAACCAAAGCTCAATGTCGTTATCGATGGAGTATAGAAGTTATAGACTGACAAAGTTTGTATGAAAAGTGATGGGTTAAGTAGGTACTTGCGATTTTTACCAGTATTTACAATATTGGTAATATATTATTATTTACTTTAATAATAATAACAGGATCACTGTAATTATTATTAACTACTATCGCGCATCAACTTTTTAATTATGCCGAAATTCGTACCGCTTATGTTTATCAAAAATAATGCCTATATTAGGCTTTCAACTAGCTCTTATAGTAATTAAATAGTTGACAGTTACTAATCCCTTCTACTATTGTCATTGTTTTTGTAAAAACTTAAAAATCGCAAGCAACTCATGATTTTTTCATTCAAAATTAGAAAATAGAAAATAATAATTTACTTCTATTTATCGATAACTAGCTTTCCGCCCGCGGCTTCGCCCGCGTGGAATTTTGTCTGTCACAGAAAAACTTTATCGCGCGCGTGTCTGTTTCAAAAACCGGGATAAAAACTATCCTATGTTCTTTCCCGGGACTCAAACTATCTCTATGCCAAATTTCATCAAAATCGGTTGCGAGGTTTAAGCGGGAAAGCGTAACAGACAGACAGACAGACAGACAGACAGACAGACAGAAGGAAAATTAGATGCACCATAGCTCCTTATGGTGGTTGAGCGTCATATTCCACAACTTCAGCTTTATAATATTAGTATAGATAGGAAACCGTATATTAGAACACGAGCCCTGCACTATGTTACGACCGGCACATGCGGCCGTACTGTATATTTTCACGCGTCAGTGGATATCGGAAGAAATAAAATACATTGCGCAGTAGTTACGCATGACATAAAGTGGTTGCTAACTAAATCGTCAATGTACAACGTGTTTGATTTTTTATCACCACTAATTTCNAAATGTCATGGCACTGAATTTGTTCGTAAAAATGTTTAGTTTTTTTGATTTATAAGCAAAATACCAATGGATTTGCAATACTTACATGTGGTAAATGACTTCATTGTTCCTGTAGTTCTTCGTTTCACTTGTGTTATTGCACGTAACGACGCATTATCCAACAATATCTGAGAACATTTCCTCAGTACGACTGAATCGCGACTAACCTAGCGTCGCGGGCGATGTTCGTTTCTGGGCATATCGCGGAGACACGCGCCACGCCCCCGTTTCACATCTATTCCCTTCTATGATCTGAGGTCGATCTGTTTTAATGGTTTCAATTTATTATTTAATGGACTTTAGTGTACAAATTTGGTGTTATTTTGTGTTCTAAAGTGCAGTGAAGTGATAAATTATAAAAAACATTGAAATACTTCTAATTTGAGCGCGCATCGAGTGTCGAGTGGGTTGTCGTATGAACAACCCGCTTTGGACCCGGTGCCGCGGTGGCGTCTCGAAACCTGCTTACGGGCATACTTAACTCCACGGAATCCATGAAAAATCAATAGAACTGAAACACCCAATTTTCACTCGACATTGGCAGAAATAAACCTCCCAGAGAGGTTTGGTTGCCATTAAAAAAACCCTCCCGTGCCGCTCCCATAACTTAAGCACTGTGTTAAACGCTAGGCCTATAATGTTACAAATAAAGTAATTTAAGAAGAAAACAGAAGAAGTAATTTCAACATCAAACATACATATACTTAGTACATGGCTCTCATATAATTGTAATGAGGGCTATCGTTTTAGCGCTCACCAGTTGGCGCCACTGTAGAGTAAGGTCCTGTCACTTGCTAGTAGCGAAGACCTTTACAGTCCACTGCTGGACTATGAGCCTCCTCCACTATAGTGGAGGGTTTTGCCATAATCTCCACGCTTGGCAGGCGGGTTGGAGATCGCAGTTTAAAATATTGATGTTTTTCAGAGAGCGCTGCTGCCCATTCTCTGTTTGATGTGTAGTCCCTAAGTCGCCTCTTACGACACCCGCGGGAAGAGTAGGGGTTGGTGACAAATGTATTCTACTCTGCCGTCACCACACGGCTAAACCAACCAACTGTTAAATATTAAAACGATAGCCCTCATTAAGATAGCACCTAGTCCTACGAAAAATATGTATGTAAACGCGTCTGTTTGTACCTACTTGTGTGTGTCTGTCTTGTTGGTTGTCCTAAATAAATAAAATAAAATAAAATATATTTGATAAAAGCGAAAAGTCACTGATTGACTGACTCACTCACTCATCAGGAAATCTCAGAAACTACAAATGCTAGGAGTTTCAAATATTGCATGGGGGTTCCTTTTAGAACGGATTTTACGAAACTCCACCCCTAAGGGGGTAAAACGGGTTCCACGCGTATGAAGTCGCGGGCGGCCGCTAGTTAATCATAGTACATTAAAGGCAAACTTAATGCCAAATGGCATTTTCCTCCAGTTAACCATAAATTAATGAATTTCATAGAGGAGATTAAAATTTAATAAAATCAAGGAACGAAAGGTATCATTAATTCAGTCAAAATCAAATTTAGACTATTTCATTAGCACAATAAAATTTTAAATTGCATAATTTATAACTTAAAACTTAATTAAATAAAATCGAAAACTCATACAAAAATAACTTACGAGAATCCCCTGTTCATGTGAATGTCCCTGCATCATTTTATGTATTTTTAATTAGTTAAAAAAGTTAGCTCATAAAAACAAACAAAAAATCATCAAAAACAAAGAGCCAATTGCAAAAAAAAAATCTTATTGGAAGAAAAAATATTAAAGTTTCGAAAAATATCTGTTTTTTGCACTAATTAATAAGTTTCGTACAACGCGGCTGCGTTAACTGCGCACCCGGCGGCCGTGACGTCACATCGCCGCTCTGGTACGGACGAATGATTCCAACGAGGTGCGCAGTTAGTTCGATATGGTCGTATGCATAAACTTGGCCTCAAATTTCCGACTACCTTACAATCTTCTTCTCTCGTCTCGTCTCCCTCCCATACAGCTAATCTTCCTTTTACTCGCTTTAAAAACTACCCTCACATTATTATCTTCAATTTTATCCACTTCATACTTATTAGGAAACCCAACTACACTGCTCGGAGAGAAATATGTGACAAAATTTATAATCTCGCTTCGGCTGCAATGCGTTGAAAAACATACATCTAACCTTTTGTCCGATAGCCTGCTGTTTGAACGTTGTTCTATGTTGATGTTGTCCCATTTCATAGCGGAGAGGTGAACGAACAAATATTTTGTTGTAATGATATCATGGACACAGTTTCGGTGAGGGTATTTCTCTGAACGGTTGCTGCATTTGTGGATTCGTGTGTCGTACTTGTTTGTGACGCTTGGAATTGCCTCTGGGAAGTCGCTGGAAGAAAATGAATAATCATTGATTTAAGGTCATAGCAGACTTATCAAACTCGGAAAGGGATCAACACTAGAGATGAAACGGATATCCGGTAACTATCCGGTAGGCCGGATATCCGGCCTACATTTACTATTCGGCCGGATACCGGATAGTAACTCACTATCCGGCCGGATACCGGATATTAAAAAACTGCGACAATTTCCTATTAATAAAATGAAATAGGACATTAATCTTTGAAGTAAACATCAATAAAATGGCTTATAATAATGACGACTTTTATTTAAAGTCCAAAAAGTTACAAAAAGCTATATTGAGGCCTTTAAAAAAAACTAATTTATTTTTCTGGGCTATTCACTCTAATGACGAATGCATAAATAATCTGTTAAGTCGAAATATTGCCAAATAAAAAAGGCGATCTTTTTTTCACTGATGGTCGTCTGCTGATGTCATGATGCAGTTTAGTCAGATTATGCAGCAAGTAAACTAATTGAATTTTCGCTATTCAATCACACACTCACGATGGCAACCGAAATCGTCCGAATTGATCTGCCCCCTAGACAAGTGGCAAAATCTGACATTCTATTCAGACTGATTCGATTTTCGAAAAGTGTGTAGTCTAGTCTACTAACTAATAGACCCACTGATCGCGTTCGAAGCACCTGTGCGGCGCTAAACTCGTCACGACATGTAACGAGACAATGGGCCAACTATCCGGCCGCCGGATATCCGGCTATCCGGCCTAGCAGCTGGCCGGATATCCGGTATCCGGTATCCGGCCATACAACTATCCGTTTCATCTCTAATCAACACCATATCGCTTTTCGCGCACTTTCAACGGCGCGGCGACGCGTCGAGGCGAGGCGTTTACGTTACGGTATGGGTAAGTGCGCGTTGCAGTATACAAAAAATACTAACCGCCTTGAGTTGATCCCTTTTTGGGTTGATAAGTGTGCTACGTTCTTTATACTTAACTAACTGTAGCTTCGTTCGTACGCGTGAAAATCGTTCGCTTTAGGTTTTTACTATTTAAAACTAACCGAACCGCCTTAGTAGTCCCGGGTTCGAATCCCAGTGGGGGAAAATATTTATTTTATTTGCCACCATTAACGATTGTAAGATTGCGACAGATTTGTCGTCATATAAAAAATTGGCTTATATGTATATTTCAAAAGATTAAAAAAATGCACCCTTAGTCCAGACGTAGAAAGGTTTTTCTAGCCATAAAAATCTAGAAAAGCCACAAAAATCTAGAAAGTGTAATAAAAGTTACAAAACAAACCTGTATATAGCCCAATCTCTCTCCGCTACATACACTTTAACCCCCAGCCGGCTGTATATCTCATTAAATAAATATTCGTATCCAAATCTAGCAGACGGATGCAACGCTACTGCATTCTCTTCATCTCCATCCAGCCATGCCTTAATTTCTGCAACTGCATTTTCCACCGTCTCACTCCTTTTGGGAAAATTCTCATACATTTTATCCATAAATGTTGTATCCACATACATTTTATCAATTTTTATAGGTTCACCGTCTTTATGAAGTTGGCCAAGCTTGGACACATCGTTGGAATTTGTACGGAAGTCACCGGTGAATAGTACAGTCGTGAACGGGGTTTGGAATAAAAACATGACTGAGCCGAAGCAGTGGCCAGCTGGTATCAGAGTCACTTCGCATAGATAATAGTCTTCGTATTGTGATGGGAGTTTTACGTGGGTTTTAGAACCTGTAAGATAAATAGAAGAGTACAACAGACTGTGCAAAAAATGTAAACGACGACATTTTTTATCATAAGCCATTGAAATTCAGGCGCGCTGTGCTGAGGTCCCTTAGACCTCAGCCTCGAACTTAGCGGGCAGCGGGGCGGCGGCGGCGGCGGCGCGGGAGCGGGGCGGGCAACGCAGACCCGTTCTCGAAGGTCTATTCCACTTTGATCACCTGGCTTTGATGACCCAGGTGATCAAAGTCCACACAAGTACTTCCAGCGACAATTTAGTGTCCTTTGATCACCCACGGCTATGATGCTCTGGGTGATCAAAGTGGACTCCAGTTAAATTATTATTTTAGTGTCCTTTGATCACCTACATACAAATCGTACCTCCACTTATACTTAATTTACGGACAAACATTGTTTAGGTAAGTTACTTTAAAATATTTCATGCTGTAAAAAAATTGTCTATATTAAGAAAATGTTTGTACTTACAACAATTTGACATGACGTGTCTATTCAGAGGAGGTGTGATTTGTATGTAGGTGATCAAAGGACACTAAAATAATAATTTAACTGGAGTCCACTTTGATCACCCAGGGCATCATATCCGTGGGTGATCAAAGGACACTAAATTGTCGCTGGAAGTGGACTTTGATCACCTGGGTCATCAAGGCCAGGTGATCAAAGTGGAATAGACCTTCTCGAAACCAGCGGGCAGCTCGCGCGGCGCTTTAGCGGCGAAGTGTTGTGTTCGGGGTTTGTATTGTCGAGATATTTGTTTTTATTCGCAAACGAAATGTCTGAACAACGGCGACAATTTTATTTCGATTCAAATTTATTCCTAACGCTCGATTTATTGTGGGCAAAAGAAGGAGTGAGCTGCCCGCTCGTTACCCGCTCCCTCGCCGCTGCCCGCTCGTTGCCCGCTCCGGCGCCGCTGCCGCGCCGCTGTTTTCGAGAACCGGTCTATTTGATTTCACGCATAAGATCCTGCCGCTGCCGCGCCGCCGCCGCTCCCGCCCCGCTGCCCGCTAAGTTCGAGGCTGAGGCCTTACAGAAACAGCAAATACGTAAATAATGTATAAGAAATTTATTCATAATGTTCATTACATTTCAAATTTTCACTGTGTTACCTACTATCTTTTAGTTTTTATATTTGCAACTGTCCACACTGCATGCCGTGGCAGCCTTTAATTAAGACAGCACTTAGTTTTAAGCACTTTTAGTTATAGTAATTTCATGTATGCGTGTTTGTCTTGTTGGTTGTCCTAATAAATAAAATAAAATAAAGGAATGGTTTAAAGACAAAAAAGGTATGCTATACAACTGACGTCCGTATTCACAAACAATACTTGCTTAAGTGAAGCAGTAAATCGAAAGTAAAGTTGAATAGAGCTCTGTGATTGGTTCGTGTGTCACCCTGTCTGTGAGACCTCATAGTAATGTTTGTGAACGGTGAAAGGTGTCAGACTGGATTATCATAAACACAAAAATTGTTTGTACAAACATGGAAAGCATTGGGGGATGCCTATGTTCAGCAGTGGACGTCCTCTGTCTGAGATGATGATGAAAAATTGTTTAAATATATAAATATGTTATCTTGTAATGCCTTGATCACTAAACCAAATAAGAAATACATTAGCTAACTTCAATCTTCAAGAGGGTTTGGGGATATTTATTTATCTATACTAATATTATAAAGAGGAAAACTTTGTTTGTTTGTTTGGTTGTAATGAATAGGCTCAAAAATTACTGGACCGTTTTTAAAAATTCTTTCACCATTCGAAAGCTACATTATCCACGAGTAACATAGGCTAAATTTTATTTTGGAAAAAAATAGGGTTCAGGGGTCCACGCGCGCGAAGCCGCGGACGGAAAGCTAGTCTTTATTATAGAAACATGCAGTCTTATTTGATATATTTTTACAAAATGGTAGGGATTTTTCATTAATAAGTATGATGATGGAGTTTGGTGAAGTGTTTAAATCTATCAAACGCTTTTATTTTTAAGCTAGACAAGGCAGGTATTTGACCGCAATCGCACCTGGTGTTAAGTGAGATGCAGTCTAGGATGGTACATATCTGCCCTGTAAGTGCCTATTCACTCTCGCCTTGAAAACGCCCGGATTATAGTGTTCAGGAAATACAGCAGCAGGCAGCGAATTCCAGCTTACCTAATTTTAAAGTCTTAATAAACTTCTTAACGCCATCGTAGCAAGGAATAGCACCAATAATCCCAGCAGTAACGTCTGACATGTATATCTTCACTTCGTTCTCTTCCAAATGTTTAATCAGTTGCGGACTGGACAGCCCTTGAGTGTGGTCGGTGTGACAATGGCTCAAGAAGTACGCAGTCCGGTCACACCTCTCGAAGTTGTCGACAGCTATCCCTGGGATTTCAGCGATGATACCGTTGAACGAGCTCATTGAACAAGACATTATTCTGGAAAAAATAAAACAATGTACCTATGAACATTTGCATTTACTAAGTTTTTAAGTTAGAACTGGAAATAATTTGGCTTGTTTCATTTGATTGAATGTTGAAAAAGTTTTATTACTTATATTATACTAGCTGACCCGGCGAACTTTGTTCCGCCTTAATGGCAATAAATAAGCAGACTTTTTTTATTTCGAACGGGATAAAAAGTATCCTATGTCCTTCTCCTGGCTCTAAACTACCTCCCTGACAATTTTCAGCTAAATCGGTTCAGCCGTTCTTGAGTTATAAGTGGAGTAACTAACACGACTTTCTTTTATATATATAGAAGATAGGTCAGCATCTTAGATTAATAAAACCATGAATATTATTCTTTGTCTGGAACTGGCTGAAACCTGAAACCCATGCCTGAAACATGTTTCAACTTGTATGTACAGCGACCATACATCAGAGTATGTTTTTGTTGCAAAATCGCTCTTATTGCAACAGGATAAGATGCAACAGTGTGAAACTTAATGTCAATACTTTACATTTTTACATACCTGGTATAAAAAAAGCACTTAAATATTGGTTTATTCTGTTAACACAATCAACCTTTCACCAATTTCATTACAATAATAATTATCACAGGTCGTCTTAGATAAAATCAATTAAATTCATTTTACAGAAAATCAGCTGCTGCATTTGTTATCAAACAATGATAATCACAGATTAGAGGATGTTAATGTCAATGTCAAAAAAATACAGCGCTGCGCGCGCAACCCGCGCAAGTCTAGAAAATGGCGCTATAGTACTAGGTTATTGTTGCCTACGGATATTTAACATCAACTAAAATCGGTATTTTGACATTGAATCGATAAATATTTTTATGCAACTTTAATAATATAAAACTTGTTAATAATTAACTCCTAACGCAGCTAGATAAAATAATTTATAGTACTTCACATAATTATTGAGTTAATTTAATTAATTAACATAGCAATACGGTAGAGTAAGGGACTTACCCTTTTTGTACCATGGTTAAGTTAGTAATGTTACAGTCAAAACTCAATCGGTCAAAAGTTCAAAACCACTTTTGACTGCAAAAATCAGTCAAAATTGGTTTTGACTGATGCCCTTGGTCAATATCACTTTTGAGTGTTTTTCCAGTTTTAAGTGGTTTTGACCAAGCGCGTTAGTCAAAACCACTTTTGAGTGCAGACATTTTATTCATCCGACCGGAAATATTGATAATCTACTTATCTTTTTACCTGACGAATATACAGATTTCTTAAAAGTAGTACCTAAGGTAGGTGTGATCATTTTGTATGCACAAATCACAAAAATGTTACACTTTAACCCTTTTCTTGGCATTGTGCATTTAAAGATACGTTGACCAAAACAAAAATATGGGGGAGAAACCAAAAACTATTTTCAAATGTTTTTTTTACATAACGTTAGCCCAAATACTACAGATTGTGTTACACAGTATAGAATCCCTACAGGCTGCACAGATTTGACAGTAATATGCAAAATGTCAGACCTTTGACAGGCGTCTACGCACCGGCTGATAAATTTTATTATTTTCGGTGTTTTTTTTAAAGAATATTGGTGATTATTTGTAGTGATATGGATAGTCAATAAATGTTTCTTGATGATAGTGCTGTTTTTTCATCCCAAAACTTGTATAATTATTCTTGTACGATGCGGATTGTCCGAATGTATCCCTAAATGCACATTGTCAGATACGTAATAATTTACTTTCAATTTTGAATGTATCTTCAAAGACACATTGCCAGGTTCTCGTTGACTTTATTTTATGATTTTTTCATAGATTTTATCGCATAAAAAAGGGATATGTTATTAGTAATATTTAAAGCTGTAAATTATAATATACTGATATGAGTTTTAATTCATTTACTAAAGAATCGTTGTTTTTTGGACAACTTAGCAACAAAATCAGGCGCGCAAAATGCTGGTTATGGTTCAAAAATCTCGAACCAGGTCAAAAGTCAGTAGCGGTGACACTTCCGCTGATGAATTAGAAGCTGCACTTAGCCTCCTGGTTCTCTTGGGTGGTTATCTTCCTACTCCAACCAACTCAAATCACCCCAAAAAGCGAACAGCCTGTCCAGGCTGCTTCATGCTTCTGGTTATAAAGCTGGTGATTGAAGAATTTTAGCCAGTTCGACTGCTGCATAATTTCCCTGAGAGTTCCAGAGATCCATTTCCACTATCTTGAGTTTACATTGTAAGTTGGATATCTAATTTTATCTTCAATCAAAGACGTGAACACAGTTCGGTACCAGTTGGCATCAATACCCCTCGTATTTCTTTAATGGTCTTGCAAGATTCTCATGTGTTATATCTGCATTTGCTTCTCCTGGATGGTAAGAGTGGTCTGAGGTTCAGGAAGTACTCCAACGACGCTGATGGAGTGGTTCTCATACATCCAAATGCAGCTATACTTGCAAGGCGTTACAGACTTTGAAGTGTTTTTTTTACTTTGTTTTCAGTTTTTTGTAAAAGATATTTATTTTTTATTTTTCAAACAAGGAATAGCTTAAGGTTTTATAGTAATTTTCATTTAAATAACTAATTTCTACTAACAAATGAACCACGTTTTAATTTGCTACAAAGCTGGCAATGTGCACTTAAAGATACATACTATATTTCCAAAACTACATATCTAAGATTTTTTTTCGTATTTTTTACATGATTTTTACTCCTCATAAATCCAATATTTATAATGTAAATCACAAATATTAAACAAAACCGTCGTTGCCAAGTATAGGGTTAAAATAATTTTATAACACATTTTTATGATTTCCAAATTATTTTCACTAATCATTACACTTTGTATGAATTTTGACTAATTGATAAAATTTTAAATCAGGCTAAACGACTTATTGACAGATTTTTTGCACTCAAAAATTTTATTGATCAACGCGCTTGGTTAAAACCACTTTTGACTGGAAATATCAGTCAGAAGTGATATTGACCAATGGTATCAGTCAAAATCACTTTTGACTGATTTTTGCAGTCAAAAGTGGTTTTGACTGATAATGAGTTTTGACTGTAACAGTAATAACTAATGTTACTGCACGATTTTGTTCATGAGTTGTACGAACTGCTCCTCTTACAAGTTGCACTTTTTGATCGAATAAGGGCTGATTTTTCAAACGTCGAATAACTTTTAACTGAAGAATAACCTTGTCATTTTAACATATTTCCCATACTAAAACTGTCAATGTGCCAAACTTATTCTTCAGTTAAAAGTTATCTAACGACTGAAAAATCGGCCCTAAAAAATCCAATCCGTCAAAACTCCATAAAAAAAACATTTTGACCATTTTTCGACTGGTTTTAATTAAATAAATAATTATAATGTGCACTTTGTCTAGAGCCTAGAGTAGACCCACTGAAGATCGCACAATGATAGTAGAGTAGAGGGCTAGAGGCTGTTATGGTGGATGGCTCACAAGTCACAATGATTATAGTTCTTGCAACTCACGAAGGCGATTGAGCTTTACTTGAAGAAGGATCAAAGAAGAATCAAGGTGTAATATCTATCAACAAAACTTTTGAAAAACGAACAAACTTATTCGATATCGAGTGCGTAACAAAATGACATGTTTGCTTACAAGCGCTTCCAAACGCTTTTTTTTTTGTCAAAAGCATTGTGTTGATAGCAGTTGATAGCCTGAAATCTAGCTGCACGACCTATAGGATATCGCCAAAAATATATTTGAATTTTTTGTTATCTTTCATAAGTGCCAAGCTACAGAAGACTGGAATCTCAAATTTCATACGATTTATATGAAAGACTAAAGACGCTTGTAGAAGACATCAAAATAATATAATTCATCTCTATTGCCTGCTTTCCGCAATCAAAGCGAACGTTTGATAAATTCTTAAGTTCCTACCTACTGAGTTCTATTGCTATCGGGTTAAAAATATATTATCACTCCATTAATTTCCGGTTGTAGTGATGTTGATATTGTTTATTAGCATTACTAAAATAAATACCGATACTCTGCTGCTTCTACTTATGTATGTAGAATTCTACTCTCGTAACCAAAGGTACCTAACTACCTACCTTTATTAAAAGGAAGAATCTACTCTAATGTCTGTACTATCTATATCTATAATAAATAATTATAAATAAATCATTCATTTCCCCTCACAAACTTAGGTTAGTAATTACAGTTGGTAGAAAATACATTATTTATTTTATTTTATTTGTTTAACAATGTTTCAACAGCACGTAGTACTAAGTTTGTGGGACTGGTGCCTGAAATAGGTTTTGTTTTAAACCTTCTTTATTTTATTTTTCATACAAATCGTATTTTATAAATTATATTTTTTATGAAAATTAAAAAAAATAAAATGATGATATCAAATTTCTGACTTCACCATACCATTTGTATGCCCATGTTAACATGGGCTAGTGTCGGCTCATATACCCATTTACCTATAACACCCTGTATAATACCTATACTAATATTATAAATGCGAAAGTAACTCTGTCTGTCTGTCTTGCTTTCACGCCTAAACCACGGAACCGATTTTGATGAAATTAGGCATAGAGATAGTTTGAGTCCCGGAAAAGGAATAATATAGGTGTACCAGAATCTCATGGCAAATAGGTAAAATAAACTTTGTTGAGAGCAATACTGGGGAAATTGGAATAAACGATCTTGATACTGTTTAATTTTTTACTTTTATGACTTTAGTATTAATGAACATGAAGTACGAATATACATTTTAGGTAGGTATGTGTATGAAGAATGTTGTTATAAATCGGGTTTTTAAAATAGGAAAATGTCTTAAAAAATAAATAAATCGTATTATTACTTTAAGTAACTAATTTTATTATGCATCATACTTTTAACTTATCACTTCATTCAGAACTAGAAAACGATTCTAAGAACTCCACTTGCAATTTCTTGTTCTTCAATAGATGATCAAGATAAAGAGATAAAATCTTTTTCAATTTTTCTTTACATGGTCATAACATTTTGACCATTCCTCTGCACCAATTTGTGAGATATACCTGAAAACCCCGATAAAGCAGCTATTAAGAATAATATAAAAAAACATAACCCTCCTTGTGACGTATTTGGGTAATAAACTAAGTATCAAAACATTTCAGTCCAACTTACTGTCAACTCGACGACGCGCTTTAGAATCAAAGATTGACTTTGAATTATGCCTTATTTTACAATTCACATTGAAAACATTATGACTTGCTTGAGCTTTTTCGACTTTTTCACAAAAATAACAAATAGTCAAGAAGAGATTACAAAATTTTTGCAGCGGCTGACAGATTTCATAATTTTCTTTGACAGGTGACAATTAAACCATAGACAATTGCCATATGAAAAACACACTTTTCCAATATTTTTGTTTGCCATGAGATTCTGAGCCCCGATTACGGTAACTTTTAACGTCAACAATCCAGACACGCTTCTCGATTCTGCGATACGATTGGTCGTTCAACAGCGTACGTCAGCTGTTTTGACCAATCGTATCGCAGAATCGAGAAGCGTGTCTGGATTGTTGACGTTAAAAGTTACCGTAATCGGGGCTCTGGTAGACCTATAGTTTTTTTTTTTTTTTCCCTATGATGGCATCATGAAGCTACAGATAAAAATGGAGGGCAAAGTTGGGAACAAAACTTGAGTCAAATACCTACTTATATCTATCTCGCTCTCTGTGGCCCTACCTCTCTTTTTAGTGTGAACTGTAGTATTGCTATCTTCTTATTTAAATCTCCTTGTAAATTCTTCGAAATAGCCAATTCACTAACCAAATAAGAAGTTAAATAAATAAATAATTAATATTTGAAACTAAGATTACCTAGTTAAATAAAAAATCACAAAATTGTCGGCCATTTAGGCTTAATGTGTTGGCGAATCAGGGAATTACAATCCCAATTTCTGAGGTATCGGTAATGTGGCAACATCGGCCGAATCCGGCCCATCATGGCGGTTGTTTACTATGCAGTTGATTTCGTTTGAGATTTTTCAAGGGACCTTATCATTGTTTTGTCTGAAGAAATGGTGCAAAATTGTATAGTGCGTGGTTGCGGTAGTTCGTGTTGTCCTGGAAGTGATATAAAATTCCACGCGTAAGTGTTTATTTCGTGATTTCTGACAGTGGATCATTGTTAACATATTTCTTTGTATTTTCACAGTAATTACTTCCTAAAACGTTTTACCAGTATTTAAACTTATTATTAAATGTTACATATGTCAAGAAAAAGAAGATTTTACATTGAGTTTCATTGACTTTGAGCAAATTTAAAATTTTTGTTTCTATAAGACATTTTGAAGTAGTATGACCATATTGAGGATATATCTGGGACTTTCTGTGGGACCTTACTTATCTAATTTTGCATAATGTTTTCTACGGCCGTTTACTGTAATCAATCCATATCCAAATCCGTCTGTCAACTGCCAAATTAAAATCTGTTTTCTATCAAATATCCACAGTTTTCGATGCCTTTACACTTTCTTAATGTTGTAATTCATCTTAAAACAAAAACATCGAAAACCTTTTTTCATAATCATATTAAGTGCACTTTATCAAGACACACTGTTTAAACGTAAATCAGTCTTTGTCGTCCTGAGAAAAATAAATAAAAGGTTACCCTACTTAGAAAGAGAGAGCCTGCCCACAGAGAGCGAGATAGTGATACATAGGTTGTGCTTCAAGTAGGTATTCTAAGTCTGGCCTCCATTTTTATCTTTAGCTTCATGGATGGCATGCACGGCTTGTGCGTCAGCCACGACGAAGTAAGGTAAAGGTTGGGAAACGTATAGGAAAGTAAAAATGGAAAACGGAAAAAAAAAAAGGTTTCAAAGGATCAGGAAAGTAAAGGAGAGATTATCCCGGTTTTTGAAACAGGGACGCGCGCTATAAAGTTTTTCTGTGACAGAAAAAATTCCACACGGGCGAAGCCGCAGGCGGAAAACTAGTAAGAAATAAAAACAAAACTTTGCCTCAATACAATTTTATTACTTTCCCCTTTTTACAAGTTATAATATAATATTTTTATATCATTGGATACCGGTAAACAAATAGACACCGGTATTTACCGATTTATGTTTAAGTCAGTCTACAGTGGTCTACAGCACTTTTTACAAAAAGTTTTTACTGATAACAACTCGGACTCCCAGAACTTTGTGAAGAGTTCGTTCATTAAGGAATCCTCATCAAAGTGTTTTATTGTCTTAAGATAAATTAGTTGAATCAACTCTCAATTTTCATTCTAATGATGAAAGCGTGATGGTCTTCTTCACATTATATTTAAGTGTGGTGATTATTTTGTTAGTTCTCTACTTTATTATAGAATTAGCTGAAGAAGATAATAAGTAAGTCTGTTAATGTGTTGGATTTTTCTGTCGACTTGAAAGTTGTAGAAATTAAATTTTATGAGTCATTAGAATAATAATTATGCCTAATTATTGACAGCAAAACTAATTGTGGATAGATACGAAAACAATGAAATAATTATTCTGCTTGGGGTAATTGAGCTCACAGAGCGAGCTCCGGCATATTACAATTATTATGAATTTAAACAATTACCGATAAAAATCATCCAAGGAATCATTCTACAATTTTTTTACAGAACTTTTTGTGCATTTTGAACTCAAATAACGCCTCAAAAGGTCCACTGGCAAAAATGTCCTAGTGTTGGTTGTTACTCCTCTAACTTTTGTCTATTGTTGGGGAAAGAACTTAATTTTTTGTTTTGCTATTTGCCAATTGCCATTGAATTATTTATAATTTTGTGTTGGAAATAGCAGCCAGATAAGTTCATAAGTGGTGTATTGGTGATAAAATAGGTACGTCCGCATATTTTTCTTGAAATTATTTCTTTTGTTTGTTACTGAATGGCTGAAGGAGATTCGTTGTGTCACTTTTGAGATAAAAAAATTTAGCCGGTTTTGACACAAAGAAATACAAGTTCGCAAAAACTTTAAAAATGTAATTTTTGCTGTGCAGGTAGTATTGAAAATAGTGTTTTCCATTACAGATTATTACATTACTAGTTACACCAGTTCTGTGTTTTCTTATTGGATTTTTACACCAATACAACTTGACTTCGCCTTGCAAAGATTATAGTTCCTTCAGCGGTATTTTGTGTGAGTACTTACTTGAAAATATCACTAAAACCTATCGCAAAATGCTCACTAAAATCCATCAATTGTAAAAAGTCTTACAACTTACTATTTATTTTAAGAATAACTGCATATTGCCGGCACAACTATCATTATGAAAGAAAACATCTTCAAAAATCATCAAAACTCCGAAAATAAAATTATTTCGAAGAAATGTCATGTGCCTTCTGTCTAACCTTATTTTCACCAATTTCAATCATAAAAAATTACTGTGCAATATATGTATTTCAATTTTCTCATGAAAAATTACCACTTTAAAAGACACCTGCAGTCAGAATATTGTGAAAATCTACCAATACATATTTTTGGCATTTACTTTTTATGCTGCTGCCTGCTGGGTTCTCCATTTCCAAGCAGAAAAAAGAATAATCATTGCAAACAATAACAGTGGTAGTGCAATATTGATAGGTATAAAATTAGTTATTACTTCTTACATCATGACGATGTTGTGTCATATTAAATTCCAAGTTAGCCATGTTTAGTAGGAAAATATTTGTAATTCCAATTGAATTATAGTTCTTGCAACTCACGAAGGCCAGTGAGCTTTACTTGTTTGTGTATGTGTACATGCACATAACGATTGTGTAATGTCTTTCAAAACTTTTGAAAAACAAACAGTAGCGAGCCACCACATAGTGTACGACATAGTGAATAGTGACTGTGTTTCTTGCGCTGTTTCTTCTCAGCACTACTGGCCCATTTATGGTCCCGAAGCAGTGGTAGGGTTAATACTGGGACGTGTAAAAGTACTTTTTCAAAGCCTATTGCAAAAAAGAATGAGTTTTATACGTTTTTTACACATGTAAAGCTCACTCGCCTTCAAGAATTGCAACAACTAGGTACACATTAATTTACAAAGCCACCATATTTTAGTTCAGTTGAAATTCAAGTAATATCTACAATAAATGTCAATAATGTGTATTATTAATATAAAAGTCAATTTTTTGATGAAATCTATAATCTTTGTATAAAAGTGCTGCTTCAAAAGCTAACTTACAGAAAACTAAATTATTATTATTTTTATAGATTTTTTGGAAATAAAGTTATCTTGGTAGATTTATCTAGAATTGTTTTTATCAACATAATTCTTTCATATTATCAAGTCAATCGGTCTGCTTGCCTGTTACATTTTCACCCTAAACTGCTGAACTTATTTTGATGAATATTGGTATTTAAGTTTTACTTTAGAAAAAGACACACCCATATTCACAAACAATGTTTGCTTAAGTAAAGCAGAAAATCAAACGCACAGTGTTAAATAGAGCTCTGAGATTGGTTTGTGTGTGACCCTGTGTCCACGCGCACTGTGAGACCTCATAGTAATGTTTGTGAATACACTTCAACTGTGCTATATTTCTAATCCTTAGGTTTTTAGATTTAACTCAATATACAGAATTTTATTATTTGACAACATATTGACTCATTATAATTTGTCCCTTTGTTTATTAATTACAAAATAATCTCTGGCAATTTGTACCTTTATTAAATTTAACAGAACGCTTAAAATCAACTCAGGAAACGTCAGTTAATAATTTTTAGCAGTAAAACTTTAAATTCATCTCCATTACAGAAAAATGGCTGACAACGAACACGAAGAATCCAATAAAGAACCTCCAATATACATGGATATGTCGGTTCTAAAGAGCAAGTCACAACCGAACACTCCTTCCAAACCAACAGCATACTCGATCAACAACCGCACGTTCTACGATGAGGAGCGGACAAGTGATGAGTACATAGAGTTCAGTCTTCACGCTGAACGACTGTCAAATTTAGCGAATAGAGAGCTCTTTTCAGCTGATATGCTTGATTCGGATACGGATACTCAGATAATGTACTGCGATTCACCAGACTTAGTAGGTAAGTAACAAATACTTCTGTGTAACTTTTGTTGTTAATTACATATGGTCACAATAGAAATAGTCAATTTGTAAATATTACGATAATAGTTGATAGATTTATTTATTTATTAAAATCAACGAGGCATAAGTACACTATTTTAGACAAATTATATATTTGAAGAAATCTTATCAAAAATGTTTAATGCAGTTTTAATGTTTATCAAAATCGACCCAGGATTCTATTTTAGTAGGTTTAAAATTAGTAAATTATCATTAGAGTTCGTGAACTTTGACGTCATAGTACTCATACATACAAAATCTATGGGAGAGTCGCGTTTGTTTAGAACAGTGTTTTTCAACCTGAGGTCGTAAAAACTACCTCAGTAAAAAAACAGTATTAAAGTTTTAAAGATAGATTTATCCGAAATCTAAATGCAAATGCGTAAATGTTGTATGGACTGAAGTTTTCTCGGACCCTACAACATCTTTGTGACATTATAAAAAAAAAAACATACACTTGAATTGAGAACATCCTTTTTTTGAAGTCGTTTAAAAATGCAGGAAAAAAAAGTAAACGGTCGGGGGGTCGCAAAACTTTTTTTCATACTAGGGGGGTCGCGTCATGAAAAAGGTTGAAAAACACTGGTTTAGAAGAAGTATATCAAGTGAACAAGCCTGGACCTATTCTCATTCCAACCACCACAATGTCAGTACAACTGAATGCGACTCTCCCTCCCGCATGCCTCCCCGCGTTTACCCCGTCCGTACCAGTGGCCTAATTTACGTTTTTGACAGTCAAGATCTCGCTGACGTTCAGAAGTCGTCCCATTGATAAACAGTTCTAAATCCGTATTCACAAGGGTCATTTCGATAGAACGATTACTCGATAGGATCGCAACTCAGCGATTTGTTGTCGTTGAAGTTTTGTTACGTGAATAAGGCTACAGGGCGTCGATGTGACGTCACTGCTGCCAGGTACGCAGTTAGAGTTACATTACTTCAATGTGACATAATTTTTACTGAGTGTCTGGTGCACTACTAAGAAAAAAAGTGGTAATTGTTATTAATTTATGTACAACTTTCAGAAAGTAAACCACTATTCGATGAAGAATTACCCATAGTGGTTCAAGAGATATCACACGGTTATGTTATAAATTCCAACGTCTACCTCACATATGAACAGTGGAATACATTAACACCTGTAGACTCAGTGTTGGTAAAATGTGTGGCCTGCGATATGTATACAGATAAGAATTCAACAGGTCACCACATAAAGAGCGAACCGCATCAAAATCAGTTGAGCATGTACAAACCGCTGGCCAGATTTGAACTCAGTATAACTAGAAAAGTAATTTTTTTTTTTTTTTGCATGCTTTAGTTTGTTTATTTTGTTTTAACGATTCTGATTTTGTTTTTTTCATTTAATAGATACGAGAAATTTATCACTGCGCGGTTTGTAACGAGGCTTTCTATCTAAATGAAAACAACGATCACCATTCTTCAAAATCACACGAAGGGAACCTTCTTTCTGCTGTAAATAAAGTCACTGATATAGAAATAGACTGTGGGGTTAACGGTGAAAACTCGGATAACGATAGAAATAAGAACAACGATTGTTACCATTTCAAACATGGAAACAGGATTAACGATAGCTTCAATAACGGTAAAAGTAATTACGCGGCAGCTTTGAAGATTTATAGGAAAAACAGTAACACCAGCGAGGAATATGAGGAAGATTCAGAATATGATTACAGCAACGATGAATTAGATATTTTTTGGGATACGCCACACGAAGACGCTCAAACCGGCAATTCTTACGCTACAGCGCTCAAAAAACCTAAAGTTTACAATATGCCTACGTTTTTAGAAACTAAAATAGGCGATAAAAAGGTCAAAGTTAAATTCGACTCGTGGCATATGCTCATAAGTCCTAAAGTAAATAGGTTGTATTGTATGGTGTGTCGAGAATATATCCATATTAGAAGTAAGGCAGAACATTGTTACGACGCTAATCATTTGATTAAACTGGAAAACTGTAAAGTTTTAACTCATTTTGGCGATTATCTCATCAGAGAGGTGAGTTACTGGTTTAATTTTCAAGTTTGTTAGTAGATTCAGTTTTTAACTTAGTATTTAGCATGTTTGTAGTATTATTATTAGTATGATTTTTGAATATGTACAATGTTTCATAGCCAATTTCAGTTTATAATAAATGCATGCTAAGGGACCATGAGAATAACATTTTAAATAAAATTGGTAATTCTGCCTTTGAGTAATGCATGTCTCATTTTTAACTTGACAATAAGCATGACCTAATTGCTTGTTTAGAAACATTATAATTTTGATCCAAAATGTGAATTATTTTTAATTACAGATAGACGATAAGTTTTACCATTGCGGTCATTGCAACAACTTGCTTCTAATCAATGACACGAAAGACCATATCGAAAAACGACATTCTAAATTCAACAAAAACGCCAAAAACAATAATAATGATAGCCAAATTAACGATGACGCTGATAAACTTAAAGATACTCCCGTTGCAAACAGTTTTAACGAAAATAAATCGAATGGAAGTACAATTAACGACATTAACGACAATAAACCAAATGGAAATGGATTTAACGATAAACTTAACGATCCGAAAGCGATCACATTTAACGATAATAAAGAAAACAACGCTCCGAACAGGATGCAATGGAATAATCCGATATTTAAAGATATGTTAACTCAGGATATATTTTTGAACATGTTTGGCTACAAAATTTCTATACCTCTTCTATCGTATCATGTGATTTGCAAGCGCCCTCAGGATTTTTACTGTGGGCTATGTAACTTTATATGTACAGCAGACATCGTAGTGCAGCACATTTATAGCGTATCACACATTCAGCAGTTAACAAGAACTCCTTTTATAGTACCATTTAATTATAATTTAATAAGAGCTGTAAGTATTACTTTGTTTCTTTAATTTACTAATAAAATTGCCTTTTTTGTGGAGAATTTGGCCTACACTCCCCACGCTGGCCAGACGGGTTGGGGAGGCCTGATGTTCGCATATTTTTCTCATAATCCCCTTTTCTGATAACATCGGAAAGAGGCTTATTCCACTATTCCCCGTTGACGGGGATTGTCAACGGGGATTAGCGAACTTTTTGTTCACTATTCCCCGTTAACGCCAAATTGGAGCTTATAATGGGGAATAATGAACTAAAAAGTTACTTATCCCCATTACTTTAAAAATAAAATCCTAATATAACGGGGATTAATGAAGTGGTACTTCATGATTCGATATGAGATATAACTCGCACTTATAAACAAGACTGAATTATGAAATTAATAACCTTAATATTTTTAAGTAAGAAATAGCGAAAAACGGAAATCTCGGGCCTGAACTTGATAAGAATAAAACTGCATTATATGTTTTTTAAATAATTCTGACTGCCTTTGTTTTTCACAAAATCCCGTAACTCAGCTGTGGTTCGCGTTTGACTCCTGTGAGGGACAAAATGTTTTAATTTGTGATACAAAACATTGTAAAAATTTACAAACACAGTTTTTTTATTATTTAACGATCTATTTATTAAATACCTGTTTATTTCTTTGTTTTGATTATCAAGAGTCAAGAGATATCAGGCTACTTTAAAAATGTAATATAGCTAAATAATATAAATGTTTTTATATAGAAGAGGAGACAAACGGACTCGCAGATCAGTCGGTAAGCGATCACCATTGATGTTTGATGTCAACATCACAACACCCAAATATTGTTTGTCCTAATAAACGTACGCTTTTTATATTTCTAATTCAACGGGTTCTATTGATCGTTTCATCCACGAAGACGCGCCCCACCATTTTTCCGCCTATGTTTGAATGTTATCGGTACATGATGAAGCCACGATAGCCAAACGGCGAAGGGGTCGGACTGGCCGACTCGTGATCCGGGGAACGCGGGTTCGGTCCCCGCCGCCGCCGTTCGACTATTGTGGTGAGCTCACTCGTGACATTATTTAGCTTACTATGAGGGGCTAACGGGAGTATTAGTAATTTGTGTGCAATAACAAATTACTATTAATCTTTTTTTTTTAATCAGAATGTTGGTAAATTTGGTGATATGGTCTACTGGCGCGGTGTCGGCATCGGACTATTCGTTTCGAGGGTAGTTAGTTTTATAGTTGTACCCGTCGTCTGTTAGCGTCACTGTCAACACATACAGCATTGTACCCTTAGCGTACGCCTGCTATGTTTAAATTAGCTTAAGGGGTTTGACTGGATTTTCAGTATTTTTTTCCAAATATTACAAAAATAAAAACAATAAAGATTAGTTTCAGTTTTTATGGTTTATGGTTTTAGATATTTATTTTTCTAAAAGAATACAATTATATTCACTTATAAGAAAAATACAGAATACACTTTATAATAAATAAGCAGAAAGGTAAAAGGAAGGAAGGAAAGGTTATAAAATCTGTTTCGAGATTTCCTATGACTTTTCGCTATTTCTGCTTTTGATTTCGATTGTAAAACTATAAACGCAATTATGCCTTTTGTTTCATTTCTCTGTGTTTTGTCTTTAGTATGGGTTTAATTTTTGTCACTGTTTACTGTATCGTTATTTATGTTTCTATCGTTATTTTTCAAATTGCAGATCCGTGAAGCACTACACTGTGCTATATGCAACTTACCGGTAGCAGCAGGTTATATTTACGCGCATCTAAATGAGTTACAGCATATAGGGTTACTTCAAAAAGCATTGTCACCAAAACTAGAACAGGCAGCAATCGCACCGATCGCTGTTCCCGCAAAAGAACCCCAAAAACACGAGCCAGAACAAAAAATAACGTCAGACAAAGAAAAAGAAGTGAAAACAGAAATAACGAAAGCCAAAACGGAAACGAAGCAAGCGAAAACAGAAGCAACGAAATTGAAAACGGAAACGAAGGAAGTGAAAACTGAAATAACGAAAATAGAAACAACGGAGTCTGTAAAAGATGAATTGGAATCTTTAGCCTCAGATATGACAGCGGATGTCGATTTAAATGAATCAGCAGACTCGGTCTTTGACATAGAAGATTATGTGTATGTCAAACTGGGAAATAAATATTTTAGAATAAGTTTGTTATCGTATAACAGTTTAGTTTACACGGGCTGTGAGGATTTTTACTGTTTTATTTGTTCTGTAAATGTAACCGAGGATGATTTAAAAACGCACGTTGATAGTCGTTCGCATATGGACAGCTTGAAGAAGTGCCCCTTTCTGGTTATGGAAGGAGTTCTCTTGAGACAGGTTGGTATATCTTTTTACTAACTATGCCCGCAACTTCGTACGCGTGAAAACCCGTTTTCGCAACATTTTTCATTTTTGCTCAGCACCTATTACTCGTAGCGTGATGGTATATAAAGCCTGGTCCGTGAGCACGTAGAATTTTGTTCAATGACCCCAAGCTACCCATCCTTATCGCTCGCGCGTAATTATGTTGCTGTCGCGCTCGCACACTCACTGCGGGCGCGCGTCGCACAGTCGCGACAGCAATATAATTACGCGCGAGTGATAAGGATGGGTAGCTTGGGGTCATTGGACAAAATTCAACGTGCTCACGGACCAGGCTTTAGCCTATAGCCTTCCTCAATAAATGGGCTATCTAACAAGAATTTTTCAAATCGGACCGGTAGTTCCTGAGATTAGCGCGTTCAAGTAAACAAACAAACAAACTCTTCAGCTTTATAATATTAGTATACAGGGTGTTAGGTAAATGGGTATACTCGTATGAGCCGACACTAGCCCATGTTAACATGGGCATATAAATGGTATGGTCATGGTGAAGTCAGAAAATTGATATCTTCATTTTAATTATTTTAATATTCATACAAATCGGATTTCATATAATTTATTTTGTATAAAAATTAAAAAAAAAAAAGATATCCTGACTTCACCATACTATATGCATATGTTAACATGGGCTAGTGTCGGCTCATATACTCATTTATCTAACATCCTGTAGATAGGTGTAGCGCTTTCCACTTCAGCTTCAGTTGGCGCCACTGTCGCCACAAGCAAGTTTCAGGACCTTAGTCTCCAATGGCGCCAACTGGTTAATTTTTCGACACTATTGGTCTGGTGCTTGGCTCAGACAGTGCCTGTGGTATGGGAGCGGCTTTGGAGTGGTGGCATTGACATAATATACAAATCTGAAGTCTCGCTGACGTATGACATCAACAAAAACATAATGAGGGCTATCGTTTTAGCGCTCACCAGTTGGCGCCACTGTAGAGTAAGGTCCTGTCACTTGCTAGTCGCGAAGACAGTGGCGCCAATTTGTGAGCGCTAAAGTGGTAGGAGGACTATCGCATTTGCACTCATCAAGATGGCGCCACTGTAGAGTAAGGTCCTGTCAGTCGCCAGGGGTGCCAACTGTTAAGTATAAAAACGATTGCCCTCATTATGTTCCTTCCCTGCCGCTCCCATTCCTCAGGCACTGACTGACTTGCATAATGGCGCAATTTCACTAGTCGATAAGGTCCGCATGCAGAGTGCGAGAGATTTCTCGAACGCGTGCCACAGGTCCCTCAATCTGGATGCGAAGTTGACTAAAAAATAGAAACAGGCATGGCGCGTCAGAAAATCTGAATGATGAATTTCATTGGTCGATAGCACGGTCGGTATAATGCATGCGGGGAATCCCCGCAGGCGTTGTACCGAACGCGTATCGACTTGCAACTTTCATTGGTCGTTATCTCGCATGCGGGGAGTCCCCGTATGCTGTATACCGAACGAGTTATCGACTAATGAAAATGCCTGTTCGGGATTCTTATGGATGAAGGAGACACTGTTTCGTGTTTCAAACGGTTTACTACCAAGAATATCTTGTTACAAGGAAATACATTAAAATTGCGTAGTTGCTCTGATGTGAACGATGTAAAACAAAAGATGTGACAGGCGCGCGCGGGGGCCCCGCGGGCGCGGGCGGTGGGGCACGCGGCGTAGTGATGTTCTTGTGAACAATGCCTATAAGTTCAAATCTTCACATTTTTTTCCAGATTTTCCTAAAGTACCACTGCGGTGTATGTAACGTAATAATAACAAGGGAATGCCTAAAAATCCACATGAAATGGCAACCGCACGTGGAACTCGTGGCGTTACAGAATAAAATAACGAAGAAAATGAGACGAAACGACCTAAATTCTGGAATGAAAATGTACGTTGGCAACACACAGAAAGAAACTATATACCTCAATGAAAAAGAACCAAAGATTAAAGTGCTATTCAAAGTCAAATTCGAAGAAGAGACTACCATAGAAAAGAAAATGAAAATTATCATCGTTAACGGTGACGTTTTAAAGTTAAACTTTGACAATTGGAACGGTGTTGCCGCTGCACAAAATGGTTTGAAATGTCAGTTATGTCAGATGGAATTCGCTGAAGGAGATTTGGCTAATCACGTTAACAGTCAAGTTCATAAAGATTTTCTGACGTGTAAAGTTTTTAAGAGGGAGTATTGGTCGGATCTGCTGAGAGAGGTGAGTTTTGGTGTTGCCAGGAATAAAATATTATTTAGAGACATTAGTAAATCTGCCGAAATCTCGTACGTTTGTTTTTGTCTATGACAACATCTATACAATCGTTATTATTTATTAGCGAATTGAGTCGCTTTTCAAACTAAATTTTTAAATAAACAACTCTTATAACTTTAAATTGAGACAGGCTGGACTGATTTTAATGATATCTGATGTGATAATAGCCTAGTCCTAAAAAACTTGGTTCGTGAATTATATTGTAAAAAAACATTGGACACGTATTATTTTTATTTGTCAATAAAACAAGTAATAAAGTAATGATGCGTTGAAGTTCCGTATGACGTCACAAAGTGCTACCACGCCTTGACGTCGCCTGCCTCCTAGTTCTAGCTTTGGCGCGCTTTAACTCTTGTCAATTTTCATTGATTTAAAAATGTGAAAATACGTGTCCAGTATTTCTTTATAATAAGTGACGGATTAATTCAATCTCATTTTTTACCTATTGACATTTTTTTATCGTATCTTTTGCAAAAAATTAAGCCCTACTATAGGTCTAACGCTTAACCCATCAGTGCCTGAGGTATTGGTTTTTACTAGCGGCCGCGCCCACGTGGATCCCGTTTTACCCCCTTAGGGGTCGAAATTTTGCAAAATCCCGTCTTAGTGAGCACCTACGTTCTAAAAGGAACCCCCATGAAAAACTTGAGACTCCTAGCACCTGTAGCAGAGTAAATACAAATGAGTAGGTTAACGCAGTTCACCGCTAATCCCCGCTAAATTTTGTCAGTGTGTGCGTGCGCGCCGCATACGTATTGGCGCGCTCGCATACAAACCGCGCTCGGGTGTTTCTATGAAGATGACCTACTCATTTGTATTTACTGCCTGTAGTTTCTGAGATTTCGTGCTGAGTGAGTCAGTCAGTGACCTTTCGCTTTTATAGATATAATTATCTGTTTTCAGATCGACGACACGACTCTCCACTGCGTCATTTGCAACACAGATGTCGCCAACAAAAAACCTGTCGCCACGGAACATATTGAGGGTAAAAAACACAAGAAAAACTATGACACTATTAGAGCTGTCAGTTCCACGACCAACGCCTATACGGATTGTGATGATGACGTATTACAGCTTTAAAATTGACGTGTAAAAGGTTTTTGAGATTTTTTTTAACTTAAAAAATATACAGGGTGTCTAGTTTGTGTTTAGAAGTTTTGGTAAAATTAAAAAAATGGAAACATCAATGAATACAGGGTGTTGGCGTGTGTGAAAGTTTTGCTGTGTGGTTAAAATTACAGCATATTTTTTTGTGATGTCTCTTATTTTGAATGCAGTTTAGTTTATTTTTGCCGTCGAAAATAAGAAAGTTGGATTTTTTTGTTTGGTACAGTATTATTCTAAAAGCTATTTCGTTTTCAATCGCGAAATGAGTAACATTTGCCAACTTTATTTAAGTAAAAAAATATCTCAGTTTTTTTTATTAGGCCTATGGTGGTCATAGCCAAAGATTTTTTTTAATAACATTAACCTAAAAATGCAGAGCATCAAACTGACGTTAAATTCCACTGTGTTTTTAAACTTGATTAATATTAAGAGTATCTTTATGAAAAGTAATAAATAAATGAAAATCTGAAACTAGTGTGCCATAAATACGCCATATAAAAAAAATTAAACCTTAAAAAATATGCTAACACCCTGTATGTAAAATATTGTGATAATATTGCTCTCCCTATAGCTCTCTTATAGAGTATAATTAAAGAGCTGTAGTGATTTTAAAGGTATTAATTTTTTCAAAAAATTTCAGATTTGATTTAAAATTGAAATTTTTTTTTTGTTATAAGATGTATCAGAGATACCTACTTGTATGTTAAAACGTGTCAAATCATTTTCAAAATGATTGTTTCACAGAAATTGATACTTTGCCATGCTAGGCTAAATTTTATTTTATAAAATATTTTTAGTTTTTAGTTGACTCAAAAAAATGAGTATTGTTGATTTTTTTCAGAAAATATTTGTGTGCCATTAAATAAAACCCTAAAGGGTTAACTAAATGAATGTTTTTTAAAAAATTGATCCTGTATGCCTTAAAATATTTTTTTGTTGTTTAAGTTACAAAGAAGCCATTTTATGAGCCAAATACAAACAAGTCTAAAGCCTGGTCCTGGATCAGGCTTTAGTTCGAAAATGATAAGCATTAAAAATGCTCAATTATTTAAATGTAACATAATTTTAAGTGAAGTTGACTATTTTGATTTCCAAAAAATATTATAGTCATGTCAAATTTAATTAATATCGTATTTTGGTATTAGTATTCGTTTTTTTTTCTAATATTGTAACAATTTTAGTTTTCATAGTCCCGTGATTGTTTCTTTCAACCCAGTTTTAAAATAGGTTGAATTTTATTTGATTTATTTGATTCGTCCTCCAATAAAACAAGGCCCTCAATTGAACACCTTGCTCAATTCAAAAAAAGAGGTTGAAATAATTCAACTCCTTTTTCAAAAAGAGGTTGAAATAATTCAACCCAGTTTAAAGATGGGTTGAAATGTCATTAAAGTTACCAAACAATTACCTTTCGTAAAAAATAAGTAACACATAATGTAGGATAAGTAAGTTTTTCTTAGTACGCATAAGCATATACTGTAGTTTTTCCATACTTGTTAAGATATTTTTGAAACTGGTTCTTTATATTATAGGTCTAGGCGCTTAAGTCAGTCACTGACTGATGGGAGCGGCACGGGAGGGGTGACATTGACATATTAAGAGCATACAAACGGAGTAAATACAAATTGATTTTGTGACGGTCAAACGTCAGCAAGACTTCAAGATTTGTATCAGAGTAAATACAAATGAGTAGGTCATCTTCATAGAAACGCACCGAGCACGGTTTGTATGTGAGCGCGCCAATGCCACACTGACAAAATTTAGCTGTGATTAGCGGGGTGTTGGTGTTGCGCCGAATTTTGTCAGTGTGTGCGTGCGCGCCGCATACGTATATTGGCGCGCTCGCATACAAACCGCGCTCGGTGCGTTTCTATGAAGATGACCTACTCATTTGTATTTACTCTGATACAAATCTGGAAGTCTTGCTGACGTTTGACCGTCACAAAATGACCCTCCCGTGCCGCTTCCATACCTTGGGCACTGAGTTAAGTGTTAGAGTAGGCGCACACCGTTGATTTTTAGTTGGCCGATAGTTGTGCCCGATTTTAATTTGTATGAAGAATCGGCCAAATCGAATCGGCGTAGTGTGCGCACTCCCATACATGCCCATACTGATCAACTGCCCGACTAAACTATCGACCGACGAAAAATCAACGGTGTGCGCCTACTCTTAGACCTATAATCATCAGTATTAAATTCTAAGCTATTTTAAACGTAATTAAAAAGACTTTCGTAGATTTAAGTCTTCCATTGATACTTTTGTAGTGTTTCCTTAATTAATAAGTAATTCTTTTTGTTTGTGCCTTAAAATAAAAGAGTGCTATTTTGTACTGGTTTGTAAGATTTTGTGATTGAGATTTGAATTTGAGATTGTAGAATCGATCTATTTCGTGTGATAAATATGAGTACATTCCATGGTATTTGACACCAATCAATGAGTTTTTCATTTGAAAAGTTCATTTTTTCAAGTTGTTTATTTAAACAACTTGCGTTTGGGCTAAGACTGGCGCCAACTGGTGACCGATGAAGCACTAGGACTAGCATTTGAAATCGCCAGTTGGCGCCACTGTGGAGTATGGTCCTGTCACTTGCTTGTGGCTAAGACTGGCGCCAACTGGCGACCGCTGAAGCGCCAGGAGTATAGCATTTGCTTTCACCAATTGGCGCCACTGTTGAGTAAGGTCCTGTCACTTGCTTGTGGCTAAGAGTGGCGCCAACTGGTGACCGCTTAAGCGCCAGGAGTATAGCATTTGCAATCACCAATTGGCGCCACTGTCTAGTAAGGTCACCATTGGCGCCAACTGGTGAGCGCTTAAGGAAACTAATTGAGTAACTTTATTAATATGAAAACAACTACATTTTTACAGATTGTGAACTACTTTAGTTTATAAGATCAGAATCAGTTGTACGTTTCAATTTATTGGTAAATGGTGTCAAATATCCAATTAAAAAGACAATGCTCTTTTGGCATTTTATTCCCCCATTTAATTCTAATTAGAATTAAGTTAAATAATTAATTGAAGTATCTAGAGTCTGTAAGAGGCGACAATAATTATAATTTAACGCTCGATAAGATTGTTATTTTGAAATTTTATTATTAATTTAAGTTTAATTATTTTTGTGATAGTTATTTAAGTTTAGAGCATAGGTAGTATGTAATGAAACTTATCTATTTAGATTATAACTTCATCTTTTTTTTGTTAATTTAAGTTACTCTTACTTATAAGTGCTTTTTCCCAACTAATTGAAGTTGCTCTTTATTTTATGTGCTTTTTCTCTAGTGAAAAAGATACAGGAAACACTGTAATTTAAACAGTTTTTATATTAATTCTATACATCAGTATTTTTATTTGTCCAAACTCATTGAAAAAAAAAGTTAACATTTTGACAATTCTAAAAGTAATTTTTACTAGAGAAGGAGAGAGATAGTCGTTTCTTTGAATGAATGTATTTTTGTCGCCGTTTAGAATTCGACAGTATATTTTTGTACTAATTTCTAAGTGTTTAGTACTTATGGATGACGTACAATGATAATTTTGTAATGATAAAAATTTCGTACGATTGAGGAATAAAGTTTGATTTTTAATTCGTTGTTTTTCTCTTTACCTGTCTTAAAACTAGAGGTCCCAAGTTCGATTCTCGTAAGGGCAATTTTCTGCTCGGTTTGGTAAGACTTGTTAAAGGCTTATTCAAACCTGAGCGATATTCGCTGCCGCTGTGGTTGCGAATACAGCTTAGGTCTGAATAGGCCTTGATAGTCCGCCTGGTTACTTTTGGAAATGCTTTTCGTATACCCATTGGCTGATGGGACTATCTCCAATAGAAGGGCGGGGCCCCACTTAACCCTTAAACCCGACGGTGATCTAAAGGAAAAGAAGCCCGCAAAATTGTGAATTCCCCTCCTCTGTTTTATAGAGGTTTTCTCGTTACAGCCCTGAGGGCTGAGTGTGTTTTTATTAAACGAGCTCACTAGTGATCGCGTCTAAAAATGACATTTAACGTATGTCGGATTGTACAGCGCCACTAGCGGGAAACGTTCAAAAACTAACATTTTCATACATTTTTAAACGCGCTCAGTGTAACGGCATCCCTAGAAATAATTGGGGGAGGCCTATATGTTCAGCAGTGGACGTCCTGTGATCCTGTGGCTGAAAGAATGAAATTGAAACAAAATTCGATCAGCGAGTTTATTTCTCTTTTTTGTTAAGAGACCTGTACACTACAGCGGCTCTCTTTGCAACGTCGTCTGTGTATTGGGCGACCAGTTTAGAAGAGAGGAAGTCTTTTAGAGCCTTTATGAGCACGTTGGCGTTCACTTCATACATTAGCGAGGGCTGGTCACTGCGGAAATGGATCACTTGGGGCTCTGAAAGCATAGTTTGATGTTAACATAGTAAAGGTCGTTTTTCACTAAAGCCGATTCGCGGCGAGATATGCAGAGAAGAGACGAGCATAGCAGCCTATGAAGTATTATACACACTGCCCCCCTAGACAAAACGCACTTTTTGATCGAATTGAAAATCGAATCCGTCAAAAATCCATACAAAAAAGGGGCTTCTCGACCACTTTTCGACTGGTTTGCGATTATAATTTGCACTTTGTCTAGACCCACTGAACACTGTTCACGCACCACTCCCTTAGTGAAACATTATTTTTAGGTAAACCTAGAGATATTATTTAATTGTATTCTGTGATTGTTCCTTTAAATAAATAAATAAAATATGTTTTGTGTGGATAATCCGCATTGGTGGGAAACTGACCATAATTCAAATTGAAGCTTTTAAACTCAACGGTCAACACCGCAGGCGTAGGTAGGTACCAATTTCTCAATTTGCCTCTGGTAAATTATAAAGGGCTGTGCTTCTGCATACGGATTCTATTCAATACAATAATTTGTAGTAACTACAAATTAGTTATTAGTAACTAAGTAGTACAATTCAGAATAAATAATCCATACCTAATTAATTTAAAAGAATTTTTCCTACTTATCTTACAAGTATTATAACAGCACAAATTGGAACACAATATGTTCCAATTTAAGTATGCTGTTTTTATGGTAATTCAGAAGTACTGACTGATTCTAAAATCCTTCGTTCGCAGCTCAGCGTTTTTCTCCACAAACTCCTTCATAGTATCCTGCACCTCATCCTCCGACGCCACTGGTTCCAGCTTTTCCCGGTTCTGGGAGAACTGTTTCCTGGCCATCCTGGTGATAGCATCGGCCTTCCCTGGTGGGACCACCTTATGGATCAGAGCATCTACGTTGGACCGGTTCTGGCCGTCTTTGCTCACTTGGAGAAGGACGTAGGCGTCTGCTGTTATGGTTACGTCTGTAATACATGATACTTGTTTTTTTTTATGTATAACATGGCAGATATTTGACAGCAATCGCACCTGGTGTTAAGTGAGATGCAGTCTAGGATGGTACCTACACATCTGCCCTGTAAGTGCCTATTCACTCTCGCCTTAAAAAGGCCCGGATTTGTTGGTGTTCGAGTCGCATCTCAAACTAAATTATCACTTGAAAAATCGAACTGCCCAAGGCGGGAATCGAACCCACGACCTTTAGCTTGCCGGGCGACTGCTCTTCCTGAGCTACAGAGGTCACGCTGGCCGTAACAGTGCAACACTTGAAAATTCCGACTAGTTCATCCAGAGTCTAAGTAGCTCACATGGAAAGGTTGTGGGTTCGAAATCCTTGGGGGAGGCCTTTGTCCAGCAGTGGACGTCGTTTGGTTGCAACGAACAAAAAATAGAGCGGGTCGTGAGATGCCTGTATTTTCTGTATTAGTGGACATTATGATCTGTTGATGATGATGATTTAGTTAAATGAAGGTGATGATGATGTTTTCACTTACTTACATAATAAATATAAAAAAAGTACGTAAAACATTTCGCTTCTCAGCGTTTTAATCACGAAAACGTATGATTTTAAGTGTTTTGAAACCGAAAAACAATTTAGTTTTTATTGGCACTTACATACTTAATGGAGATTAAATACTTAAATGTAAGTAAGTAGGTATAGTTAAAGATAACCACTAAAGGAAATTCTACATAATGGTATGCATTTTGTTGACATAATTATCAGTTTATAGTTCCAAAATACTGGACTGTCCTGTCGATGACATTGACAGTGGGGCGCCACCGTCAATACCGGATCGCTGGTTCAGATTTTTGCCATGTTGGAAACCATATAGTTGAACGATGGTAGCGCCCCCCTGTCATTGAGTTTGGCGGGACAGTTCAGCGTGGGTCATCTATAGTAAGACTAATTAGGTAGTCAAAGGATCTCCCCAGGTGAGGGGTAGGTACCTACAGTACTCATAGTACCTATTATAATTACTTAGAAGTCTACTTAGGCACAACTCAGGTCCCTGAAAAGGTTTCATATGTAAGTAGTATGACTGAACCACCTAGGTACTTGAGGTCCTCCCAAAAATAAAACGAACGAATACGAAAATGAGGTGTTTATTCAACCTTGTAAAACTTAAAGTACAAATATTTTTCAAGACTTATATTGTCGGTACTTTAATATCGCGAGCTAAAGACAAACAGCGCCATCTAGTACAATCACATGAAACTACTAAGTTACTCAAACAATGACCATGTTATGACTATCTTACAAAATAAGGGATGTTGTGAGAAAATAAAGTTTGCTTGGAGATTGAAGTTTGTCATAATATGACCTTAATAACTAGGCAATTTAACACTTTAATCAATTTTACAGTCAGTACATTAGTGTATGGAACTAATGTAGTAAATAAGTTTTCATAACTTTACGGTTTTTGCTAACATTAACATTACGTTACCTACTTACATCTATTATCACACTGTTTGTATGTACCTAAGTACATATATGTATGTTAGGTAACTTTTTTAAGACCATTCGTAATTTGTGTTGCACAAATTACTAATACAGTCCCGTTAGCCCCTCGTACTAAGCTAAAATGCTTGTGTCACGAGTGGGCTCACCACAATAGTCGAGCGGAGGTGGGATTCGAACCCGCGTTCCTCCTGATCACGAGTCGGCCACTCCGACCCCTTCACCGTTCGGCTATCGTGGCTTCAATTCTTGTAAATAAAAAGAAATAAGTTCGATTCATGTGGAGATTATGGTGGTTTACATTTCGGATTAGAGCTCGGGGTTCGGATCCCGGGTGGAGCAAACTAACGGATATTCTAAATATTCACCAGGGTCAAAAGGTGGCAAATAATTAGAAAACACCCAGACCAACATGAAACCTATTTTACAAAAATATCGGGGTATTGCGCGGGAATCAAACCCGCGGAGCCGCGACATCTGTCACAGTTGGTTGACAGTTTCCGGTAAGTTACTACGCCACACGGCTGTTTTATAAGAGTAGGCGCACACCGTTGATTTTTAGTTGGCCGATATTTGTGCCCGATTTAAAATTGTATGAAGAATCGGCCAAATCAAATCGGCGTAGTGTGCGCACTGATCAACTGCCCGACTAAACTATCGGCCGACGAAAAATCAACGGTGTGCGCCTACTCTAATGACTAGCTTTCCGCCCGCGGCTTCGCCCGCGTGTAATTTTGTCTGTCATAGAAAAACTTTATCGCGCGCGTCCCTGTTTCAAAAACCGGGATAAAAACTATCCTATATCCTTTCCCGGGACTCAAACATCTCTGTGCCATATTTCATCAAAATCGGTTCAGTAGTTTAGGCGTGAAAGCAAGACAGACAGAGTTACTTTCGCATTTATAGTATTAGTATAGAAATATAGATTTTTGCAAAATAGTGCGAACCCTCGGGCGAAGCCGTGAACTAAAGCTAAGTTCACAAATTACCTGAATTGTATCTGCATTCCAATAAATGTATTACACAATTGTGAATTAGTCACCCTTTTAAATATAAATAATGATTTTCTCCCAACTTTTGTTATTTCAAGTTATTTTGATAAGATGAAGACTCTTTTATTATTATTCTCTGTGTTAACTTTTAATTCGCTAAATTGTATGTTTATAGAGTTTACATATAACTGTGATTTTAGTTTTGGTATGTATATTTATAAATTAACTACCTACTTAGCGGCCGCCCGTGACTTCTTACGCACTTCATACAAACTTCCAACCCCCATTTTACCCCCTAGGGGTGTAATTTCGTAAAATCCGTTCTTAGCGGATGTCTACATCCTATGGAACCTACCTGCCAAATCTCAAGTTTGTATGTACTTAGTTTTTTTTTTATCCACAACGAGGAAACTCTAGGCCTGTATCTCACCTGATGGTAAGTGACGATCAGGCCGAAGGTGGAAGCGAGCTTCACCCGGAATCCTCAACCACGGAGGAACTAGCTATCTTACCTCTAACTGACGGAACACAATAATGCTGTTAACATTGTTGTTATGGCGACAGACTTAGGTAAGATGGTGGTAGCTAGCCAGGCGGACTTAGAACAAGCCCTACCACCAACCAAACCGAACAGAAAAATCTGCCCCCACTGGGAATCGAACCCGGGACCTCTGCGTCTGAAGCAGGTGGTCTTACCATTAGACCACAGAGGCGGTGGTGTTTACTATAGTTTCTGAGATCTCGTGAATACTCTTTCCTTTCCTCACCCACCACTCACTGGAGTGGTTTCGCTTATTTAGACTGTTACTAAAGTTCTTAAAGTGTCTGATAAGGTACTAGAAAAGTTTAACTGGCAGTTTCATTGGGGCATTGTGAAAAAACTAGTCCAAAAGGTCATATTTGTAAAGACGTTTAAAGTTTAATAGCATGTTTATAGAACCGCACCCACTCTTCCAGTGGATGTCGTAAGCGACTAGGGACAAACATGCGAACATCAGGCCTCCCCAGCCCGTCTGGCCAGCGTGGGGAGTGTAGGACAAATCCTCCATTTGCCTCTGGTAAATTAGAGAGTCGTGCTCCTGCATTGGAGACTAAATGACCTGATGATGATTTTTTAAGATTATTTACTTCACAGGTGATCCATCATGGAACTACTCGCACGTTTTCTTCGATAGAGACTTCTACATGGACGCTGGAGAACAACAGTTAGATGTATTTTTACCGGTAAATTGATCATTTTTTACTTCATCTTTATTTCAGCCACAGGACGTCCACTGCTGAACATAGGCCTCCCCCAATGATTTCCACATCGCCCGGTTGGTAGCGGCCTGCATCCAGCGCCTTCCTGCTACCTTATGAGGTACAGATAAATCTGCCGCCACTGGGAATCAAATCCTTGATTTCTGGATCTGTAGCTAATCATCATTATAAAGAATTAACATTCAACTGAATTTGAATTATAGGTCTAGCTCATGCCAGGCCTGTTCATCTCCGCGAGTTTACATCGAAAACAAAACACGCACGATGGCCCACCTACAGGATACTATTCGACAAGGCCTCCCATACGAGCGAACATTGACTCACGCACGCGTATTCTTGTGTATGATGGAAAAAAATAAAGAAAATGGTGTACTAAATACTGTGCAGTATTTAACTGCCTAAATAATAATAAAAACACAGAATGTACTTTTTTAAGTTGCCTGAAGACACTGAGTGTCTTCAGGCAACTAAACTCGCGGAGATGAACAGGCCTGGTAGTAGGTACTTATTATTATTCTGTGCTCATGCTCATAACTGAATCAGTGCCTAAAATGGAAGCGGCAGGGGAGGGTGTTTTGTGATGTCAAACGTCAGCGAGACTTCAGATTTGTATGATGTCACTTCATACATCAATTTGACCCTCCCGTGCCGCTCCCATACCTCAGGCACTAACCGAGTAAAGCTAGATCTACAACGTGTTAATGAAAAAGCGTAAAACCTCAGACACCCAACTTATTTTTATTATAAAAAAATAATTTTCGCGGATTATTTACGAAGATTAGGCGGTTATCACACTCAGTGTTGCCAGAAGGCTACTTTTGTAACCTTTTTGGTTACTTTTGAACTGCTGTGGTTACTTTTAGGTTACACTAATGAAAAGGTTACTTTTAGGTGATTTTTCAGAAATTGTAGAATTAACTTTACAGGTTATTCAGTAAAAAATATTAATAGTGACAATTTAAAAATTATGTCATAAAGAGCATTTAAACTTGAATTTCCCCCCCCCCCTTATAAAGGTTACTTTTTTTTATATTTCTGGTAATTTCTGACTAGACCCGACTGGCAACACTGATCACACTGCGCCGCGCTCCGCCGGTGAAGTGCCGCGCGTGTTTTCTATACAAACTGAGGTACTTGCATACAATGATTAAATCTGTCGCCCTGCGCTCCGCGGTGGAGCGCGGCGCAGTGTGATAACCGCCTTACTATTTTTGTTTTCGCCCCGCGCACTTGTTATCTCTTTTTACGCATTTCTGGAAACGTATTGACCTTGACCACATGCTGATTGCAAGGCATGCACGTCTATGAGTAGGTTAGCAGTGGTTAACGTAGATAGTTCATTCACTTCTGTAAGTAACGATTAAACACTGCATAATTAAAATATTTTTTTGGTTAAAATTTGACTTAATTTTTTTATTAGTGGAATCGATTCTACTCTCGATTCCGAACAAACTAATTTCAGTTTAATTAGTTTTGCGCATTACTTTTACAGAAAGACCCAGGCGAGATGGTTTCCTATGTGTGCGTCAATTTAGAAGGCACACCTAAGGAGAACGCTATAGTTGACTTCGTGGCGTTTATGCAGACTGTTACCATCAAATTGAGGAGTCCAGCTGATGATGAAGTGCATGTCCACATTGTAGCCAAAGAGCACGGTTATTAAAGTTGTTTGAATTAAAATTGTTTACTTATTAATACAGAGCTGTGCCCGCGACTTCGTACGCGTTAAAACCCGTTTTCGCAACATTTTTCATTGTTGCTCTGCTCCTATTGATCGTAGCGTGATGTTGAATAGCTTATAGCCTTCCTCGCTTAATGGGCTATCTAAAACTGAAATAATTTTTCAAATCGGACCAGTAGTTCCGGAGATTAGCGCGTTCAAGTAAACAGACACACAAACTCTTCAGCTCTATAATATTAGTATTATATAGATTTGAAGTTAAGGCGGTTATCACACTGCGCCGCGCTCCGTCGCGGAGCGCGGGAGCGACAGATTTAATAATTGTATGAAAGTACCTCAGTTTGTATGGAAAACACGCGCGGCACTTCACACTGACAACGCGTCCGCGCGCGAGATATTTTATATGAAATCACGCGCTCCGCGGCGGAGCGCGGCGCATTGTGATAACCGCCTTACTATCCATGGTGCAATGATATCTTTTCATAAAAGCCTTTATGAAAAGATACACTGTATGAAAAGATTGTAGCCACAACCTTTGTTTTGTCACCTGTCATCCGCTTTGCATAAAAAAAACTCATAAAACTAATTTATTTTAAAAAGCACTTTTACACGTCCCAGTATTAACCCTATCGCTGCTTTGGGACAATAAATGGGCCAGTGCTGAGAAGCAGCGCAAGAAACTCAGTCATAGTCAGCCTCCTTTTCAAGGGTTTACAGTCTTTGAAATATACAAATTAGAGGCACTGAAGGAAAGTCGAACCTTAACTCGAAGTTAACTTCGACTTCCCTCCAGCCACAGCAAAGCGGAGCGGAACTCCTTCTATGTTCTTCTGATTAATCTCGTTGCGGATCCAATGACAGTTTAACTTTTTCTTGGGACAAACTTGGCCTTCACTGGTTGGGTTATTGGCGGTCAAGCTGTAGATCCTGGCTACACAGGAGTTGCAGCGGTGGGAACGAAAGGTGGGAATAGTCCCGTATCCATATAAATATCTATCTATCTATCTATATAAATAAAAATGAATTGATGTTTGTTAGTCTGATTAAAACTCGAGAACGGCTGGGCCGATTGAGCTGATTTTGGATTTAAAATGTTTGTCGTAGTCCAGGGTAGGTCTAAACGGTGAGCAAATACGTAACCTTGTTGGTGTTCAAATAAATAAATAAATAAATACGCGCGCGATATTGTTTTTCTGTGACAGACAAAATTCCACGCGAGCGAAGCCGCGGGCGGAAAGCTAGTAAAACATATTTATGATTCGCAGCAATCGAAGAACCGAATACCTACACAAAAAATTAACAAGCTATGTACCAACTATGAAAATTTATTATGGGATTGTGAGCGAGAAGAAAAATCAGCTGTAAATACATAAAAGTGAAAAAAAAACCGATTTAATTTATTTTCTGTAAGCTTTCAAAAAATTAAAATAATCCCTTTTTCCCAATAAAAAATAACAAATTCAATTGCTAAAAAATATTATCCTTTATTACATACAAATCAGTACATACAATACGTAATATTCGTTCAGACACGGCCGAGTTGCACCATTTTACGTTAGCTGTAACAAACGTCAAAAGTCTGTCAAACTCCATACAAAATCACCGGTTATGGTTAGATTAAAATAAAGTAGTGCAACTGAGCCTTAATATAACCTAGTTATTTAGAATATATTTTACAGTTTTTAACATTCTTTCACAATACAATACACAGAGTTCACGAAAAATAAATTAAAAATAAAATTTAATTTTACACCGTATGGGGTTTTTTAGACCCCAAATATAAAAACTTTTACTGGGGCCCACAAAAACGAAACTTGATCTGTTTCAAAATAATTTCAATAAATCTCTACAAAAATAATATTAAAAATAATGGCTAGGACAAAAACATGTCGCTTCAGTTCTAAAACAACGTAAGTAAAATTTAGCAACTTTAAATAGAGAAAAAGTTCCTTTGAAAATAAGTGAATCTAAAAACGTTGCCAAAAGATAATTAGGTACGTGACATTAGAATTAACAAAATATTATTTACAACAAGAAATAAAGAAAATAAATATCAATTGAAAAAAAATTTTAAACGAAACCAAATTAAAGCGATTAAAGCACCATAAAATTAAAACTTACACGCTATTATTTACAAATTTTATATTCTCATTTATAATACGAACACTCTTACAATATATTAAGTTGATTTACAGAACAATCAGGGTTTGTTCCCACGGGGGCATCCCGTTTAGTAAAGTACAGTTTTGATATCTTTTTTTTTGCGGGAAACTGCATACAGGATATTCAGCATCATCAACAGCCCTTTACAATCACTGCTGGACTATGAGCCTCTTCCACTATAGTGGATATTCGTGTGAACGTTAATATTAAAACATTTAGGTAGTAATAAACGGGATACTGCAAAAACCAGTTCCTGTTATAAACAGGATGGCTCTGTGGAAACAAGTTTTTAATGTGGCTATCTATTTTTCTTTCTCTTTAACAGTTATTTTGGTACAAAATACAATATTTTTCTTCATTTCTTTTTTTTTCATTTCTAAACCTAAGGTACGGTCAAAACTGCTAGCCATCTAGTTTGGAAATATTTTTTAGGACGTTATAAGATTTAAACTCTATATTTCCCCACGTTATATCGAAAGTAATTACATCGAATGTTGTAACATCGAAAACGCTACATCAAACAATCATTATATCGGGTTGATGGTACGAAACATTGAATGTCGTAACATCGAATGGTTAAAACATCGAATGTCTTAACATCGAATGGTTAAAACATCGAATGTCTTAACATCGAAAGGTTGTAAATAATAATAGATCAATCGTGAAGTAGAGACATCCTATGCCTGCGACTACGACTTTGTACCACCGATTTAATGACCTGACATAAATAACCTATCGATATTGTGACCATTCGAATTTCGATTTCGCGACATTCGATGTATCGTACGTTATTAATGCCGTTAGATATAGCGTTTTCGATGTTATGACATTCGATGTAACGCAGGGAACCTCTATATTTATAAGTCTAACCACACATAAAATAAGTTAAGTTATGGCAATAAGAATGTTTAAGTGAGAAATGTAAGTACTTAAATTACTAGTTTTTTGGTGTAGCAATACTTAAACAAGCAGATCTAATTTCCTTAATGAATTCAACGCCCGTATTCACAAACATTACTATGAGGTCTCACAGTGCGCGTGGACGCACAGGGTGACACATGAACCAATCACAGAGCTCTATTCAAAGCTGTGCGTTTGATTTGCTGCTTCACTTAAGCAAGCATCGTTTGTGGATACGGTCGCAGTCTAAAATTCTCCTCCTTAGTTCTGAGATTAGTTTTCGATCCTTGCTTGACATTTAAAACGATTTGTAATGTCTGGTGCCAGCTTTTCTAGACAAAGAACCATTCATGATAGTTATAATTTAGTTATCGCTTCAGAAGCGTATAGTACTTAACTGTATAAAAAAACGCCGGAGCTATTTCGATTACCACTGTCACGTTTTGCAACTTGTCTATACCTTGATTTTTTAGAATCCAGCAGAGATGTAAACAAACACTTTCATACACAATTACACCGTAATCACTTACGTGTTCATAATATCATACACATTATTTAACAAGCCCATGAAACCAACTTTATTTTCACGTTTAAATACAAGTTTGAAATCAATTTTTGATACAAATTATTTTAGCAAAATACGTGGACGTTGAAAGTTTGTGAGACTTGTCAAATTGACTTGACGTTTAAAATCATGTGTTATCTCCATATTGTCTATGACTTGTCTCTGACACATCAGTGCTGTAACCTGTGAGTCATAGACAATAATCTGTAAATTTAATCGATTATTTTAAGTATTCACTTATTCCGATTACTGATTAATTTTTAATAAAAAATATACGATACCTTGTTTAGTTTTCCAGCGATAACTTCGACAATATCGGAGATAACGTAAAATTATTTTTCTACTTTTAGTGTATACTTTTTCGGAGTCAGTTTAATTTTTAGTCGGTTTTATTTAAACGAAATTATTTATGCAATTCTGCTTACGTATTGTTCCATTGCTTATTTTCCTATATAAGTAAATAAAATAAAAGAAAATAAAATATTTTTTTCAATGAGGGTTTTCGCGATTGAAAAATCCGCCAGATGGCAATACGTAGACGCGACTACGCGAGGTCCAAATGCTGCATGATTGGTTATTTTTGACATGACATTGACAGATATGTCAAAATCCTCTAATCACGCAGCATTTGGACCTCGCGTCTGCGTATTGCCATCTTGCGGATTTTTCAATCGCGAAAACCCTCATTGATAGCATCTTAAATTACCTCCCTAACGGAATAGAGCAACAAAGAACTGAGCGAGCGAGATGTCACTAGTAGCAACACTGTCAAACAGAACTTTTTGCAACTATTTGAAGTTTAATAACTTTACGGATATCATTGATTGTTTTACTGTCCAGTGTGTTTTTTGATTACATTTGTGCATACAGTTTGTTTCCTGTTCTCGAAAATTTCATAATCAGTTCACATTCAATGTTGCGACTTTGTTGCATATTTTAGTATTTTGACGATCACCCGGCGATGATACGCAAGTACAATAATTTCACTTCGCGATTAACGAGAGGTTTTGTCGCATCACTAGTTCACAGACTAAAAATATTTTTATGTCAGTTAGCCATTTTTGATGACATTTTTGCTGATTTCTAAAAAATTAGACTTGTAGGGGTTGGTTATGACACACGATAGTTAACATTATCTTAACTCATTGCTACACCAAAAAGAATTAAGTTAAAACTAATACAACTAGAATAAAAAGTGACTATTAAATATTTAAGCATTGGTCCAGGCGTTCGATTAACGCCAAAATAGTTTAAAAATAAAATAACCAAAGACTTTTACGTATTACTAGACAGGCTGTATATTGCTAATTAAATTGTTGATAAGACTTAACTACTCATTTAGTCGATTTCGAGTCTCGAAGCGAGAGGTGAGGCGATCAACACAAGCAAAGATTATTGTTGCAATTCACGAAGGCGAGTGAGCTTTACATGTGTGGTGGCTCGCTACTGTTCGTTTCTCAAAAGTTTTGATAGACATTAATTACACTATCGTTATGTGCATGTACAGGTACACACAAGTAAAGCTCACTCGCCTTCGTGAGTTGCAAGAACTATTTATCTGTCAGTATACACTCGCCGCGCTGATGTCTTGCGTAGTCGGACTGACAAGTGCTTTCTGTCTCGCTTGCAGACATTTATTAAGAGCGAGGTAGCTAGAATACCTATTCGATAATGAGTAATGTGTTTTTTGTGTTCTGTATTTAAATATTAAATCAGTGTGAGTACGTGTTCGCCTCAACTCTCGTTGCGCGACATAGACCGATAAATTAATAATTACTTGCGCATTTTTGCGTGATTTGAAGTTATTTTAAGTTACTGGGACTATGACATTCTTATTAACAGCTTGTCTAGTGAACCTTAGAAGTCTCTAATAACTAAAGATTCATCAATTTAAGTACTCCAAAGTGGGTGGTAATAAACGTCTCTTATCCTCCGTACAATATGGTTGAGTTAACTGCGCACTTGGCTGCCGTGACGTCACATCGACGCTCTGGTACGGACGGGGCGAACGCGTGTAAAGCCTTGATCACACGTACCGAGTAAACGGGCGAGACAGTAAAATGTTTACTCGGTCGAGACAGTTTGGTGAGCGAGTCACATACTCGAGCACTCGGCGTAATGTTCAAACACACCGAGTACTCGGCCGAGAGCACTGGTCTCGCCCGTTTGCTCGGTACGTGTGATCAAGGCATAAGTGTTAGGGAGAGTCGCATTCTAGCGAAGTGCGCAGTTAGCTCAATCGAGTTGTAACTTGTAGTAAATGGAAAAGAGGCTTGCTATCAAACAAAGAACTGTCAATTTATAGTCATTAGACTTTAAATTACTATATAACAACTAATTATGGTGTCTGTCTGTTACTTTTAAGGGCTGCAGACATGATGACACTTTTAAATTATATTGAGGCTTTAACAATATACAAAATTTCTTATAACTCACTTATTTTCATGAATAAACTATTTATTTATTTATGTGCAAAAAATTTAGATCAATTTTGACAGTTGACTCAAATAAACAGTCCAATTTAATAATCGTTTTATACCTATCTTTAAAAAAACAGTGAGTGTAGTGTCATCATGCCTATTTTTAGTCTCTCGTCATTATACAGGGTGTAAGGTACATGGGTATATGAGCCGACACTAGCCCATGTTGACATGGGCATATAAATGGTATGGTGAAGTCATAAAATTGATATCTTCTATCAGAAGAAGAAGATAGATAATTTAAAAAATTAAAATGATGTTATCAAATTTCTGACTTCACCATACCATTTATATGCCCATGTTAACATGGGCTAGTGCCGGCTCATATACCCATTTACCTAAGGCGGTTATCACACTGCGCCGCGCTCCGCCGCGGAGCGCGGGGCGACAGATTTAATCATTGTATGCAAGTACCTCAGTTTGTATAGAAAACACGCGCGGCACAACACACTGACAACGCGTCCGCGCGCGTGATTTTTTATATGAAAATCACGCGCTCCGCGGCGGAGCGCGGTGCAGTGTGATAACCGCCTAACAGCCTGTAAATACATGAATATATTTTATTTTGTAAAATATAAAACTGACATCATAAATAAAAAACTGGTTACTTTCAAGTAATATAGGGTAATTTTACCTACAATAAAAGGTAACAATATTTTTGGCATACTCGCTTCATACACACACAATATTGAGCGCAACGTTCAAGGTCGGAGTAGGTTGAACAAAATGGCCGCCACACACAAGATGGCGACCGGTGCCACGGTGGCGCCACCACACGTTAGAATGTCGTTGGGATATAAGTTCGGGGGAGGGGGTTCTTCACCACCTTTGCAGTATTCTTTGCGTGACTGTAAAAAATGAAACTAGTTAAAAATGTTTGTTTGGTGTATGAGAGAGAGTGTGAGAAAAGAAACATGTTTATTTAAAAAACAACAATTTAATACCAACACACATCAACATGTCATTAAATTGTCGTGTCGACTGATGGTAAGTATAGGTAATGGGTAAAGTTCAAAAGTACCTAGCTGTAATATTAAAGGTCATAGCAGACTTATCAACTCGGAAATGGATCAACACCGTATCGCCTTTTACCGCGCTGTCAACTAACCGCGAGGCGAGGCGTTTACGTTACGGTGCGGATAAGTGTGCGTTGCAGTATGAAGTTTCATACAACGAATACTGACCACTTCCGAGTTGATACGGTTACGATCCCATTCCGGTTTAATGGTAATAAGTGTGCTTCGTTTAAACCGGGTTAAAGTGTAAAGGTAAAGGGTACAGAGTAGAAAAAAAAGGGCAAAAGAAAAAATAAGGGTAAAAGATAAAAATAAAAGTTACATAAAAATATTGCGATACTTTTACAAACAAATCTTTAATATACTCACAGCAAATTCAGCCCCACAAAGCTCCCTACAAGGGGGGCACACCACACCCCCTTTATGAAGCCACCCCCTCTTGATGATTCGAATCTGCAACACTTGTCCCGCGTGGTAGCATGTATACGTGTAGTTTCCAACCACGATGTGTATGCGTCCGTGGTCACATTTGTATTTATAGCAGCCCGAACCCCAGTGCTGCCACTCGCGGATCTGAAACGAACTTTTCAGTTCAAACTTGGGGTGTATTGCACCCCACAGCGCTCGCGCGTGATGTGTATTTTAAACTGGGTATGAAATGGGCAGAAAATGTTTTTGTTTATTTGCGTGGGGTGCTTTTGAACCCCATACCAGGTATTACCCAAAACTGTGTTTTTAAGCTGGACAACTCTGGGTTTGGGAAATTGAAACAGAAAATATTTATTCTGAGTGAAGTGAGTGGGGTACTTTTGAACCCCACTGTATACCTGTTTTTTTTGTACCTCCATTTTGGCCCTCTTGTGATTTTATATCACAATTTAATTATTATTAATTAATTGAAAATAACTGTCATTTATTAATTTTATGAACAGAAAAATTACATTAAAAATCGTCAAATGGAACTCAATGCTATATCAATTACTTTTTTTATTTTTTAGCGGACAAAACCACTTTCTACTGATTTTTGCAGTCTGATTATGAGATTTGACTGTAACATTTACAATAATATCAGCATAATTTTTACAAAATCATGATCATATGTAAAATACGTGCTAATGTTTGTTACATTTTACCTGACGGCACGATTTCTGCTCCCACACCCTGTCACTGTGGTCAAAGCATTTTGAATGCTGACCGTAGTTCTCTAAAGCGAAGTTTACATCAGTCTCTGTAACAAAATTTCATAAAAACGTGACTTACTTAAATATTTTATTCATCTTTAATTTGTCGCGTGGGCGCCCAAGCAACCCAGTTTTGAGGTACCTATAGGAGTAGCACGGGAGGGGTGATATTGTCATAATATTGTGACGTGACAGAGCATATGCTCTGAAGCACATTTGAAGTCTCGCTGACGTTTGAGGTCCCAAAAACAACCTCCTATGCCGCTCCCATACCTCTGGCACTGATTAAGTGCTAGACCTAAACTATAATTTAGCTTTATATTGTTAGAAAAAAAAACATTTTCTATTAGCACAGGCTATACAGGCGACTTGATTCAGCTTTGGGGTCCCGTAGACCCCAATGTCAGTCAGTACCTGATGTATGGGAGCGGCACGGGAAGGGTGACATTGACATATTATGACGTGACAGAGCATACAAATCGCTGACGTTTGACGTCCCAAAAACACCCTCCTGTACCGCTCTCATACATCAGGCACTGAGTTAAGTTCTAGACCTATAGTACAATTAGTCAATCGGCGACACGATTAAATTCTGGGGTCCCGTGGAACTTACACGATTCTATAGGCCGTGGCAATACCACGAGCTATACATTCAGGCAACTGGATTCAGCTTTGGGGTCCCGTGGACCCCATTTAATTGCTACTCTTGCTATTTCAGGTGATTTTTTTCAGTTTTGGGGTCTCGTGAACCCCATTTAGTTGCTACTCTTGCTATTTCAGGTGATTTGTTTCAGTTTTGGGGTCTCGTGAACCTCATTTAGTTGCTACCCTTGCTATTTCAGACGACTTGATTCAGTTTTGGGGTCTCGTGAACCCCATTTAGTTGCTACCTTTACTATTTCAGACGACTTGATTCAGCTTTGGGGTCCCGAGTACCCCATTAGTTTTTAGGCTATTTTTTAGGATCTTACTTGGAGTGTTCTCCTCGAACGAACAGCGGCTGCCTCTGACCACCACGCTCTTGTGTTTCCACGTGAACTCCTGGAGGTACGGACAGTAGTCGGCGAGAGTGACCGAGCCTCCGTAATGGGCTTCCTCGCCTGGAGCAATGTTGGGAAGGATGTCGAAGTGCTGGAAGAAATTATTATTATTATTAAACTGTATTAATCATCGACCACAACGCCCCCTTTTGCGCGAACTGTAGAACAGTTCTTTCCGTTATAACTAAATATTTTCGAACAAAATAAAATGAAATAAAATAAAATAAATTTTGCACTTTGGAATAATTATAATGAAATGGTATTGAGTCGAATGGAATGGAATGAATGGAAGAAATGAAAAGAATGGAATAAATGGAATGGTATGAATGGAATGGAATAAATGGAATGGATGAAACGGAAGTGGAATGGGGTGAAATATTTAATCCCAACTAATATTATAAATGCGAAAGTAACTCTGTCTGTCTGTCTGTCTGTTACGCTTTCCCGCTTAAACCTCGCAACCGATTTTGATGAAATTTGGCATAGAGATAGTTTGAGTCCCGGGAAAGAACATAGGATAGTTTTTATCCCGGTTTTTGAAACAGGGACGCGCGCGATAAAGTTTTTCTGTGACAGACAAAAATCCACGCGGGCGAAGCCGCGGGCGGAAAGCTAGTAACTAAATATTTTGTACTTTGGAATATAATGAAATGGTATTGAGTCGAATGGAATTGAATTGTTGGATGGAATGGAATTAATGAAATTGAAAGAATGGAATGGAATCGAATGGAATGAACGGAATGGAATTAATGAAATGAAATGGAAATGGAATGGGATGGAATATTTAATCTACAATAACTAACTAAAAGACATTTTTAGATTTAGGTCGTTGTGGATATCCTTGGAGGAGGCCTTACAAACGAACAATATAGATTTTTCTTTTATTTTAATGAAAGTTTAATAGCAACCGCACCTGATATTAACCTGGTCGAGTTAACTGCGCCCTGGCAGCCGTGACGTCACAGACGCTCTGGGGCGGGGCGGGCGCGGGGAGGTGTGCGGGTGAGTGCGAGGGAGAGTCGCATTCCAGCGGGTGCGCAGTTAACTCGACCGGGTTATAACTGCCCGGTCCGTGAGCACGTAGAATTTTGTCCAATGACCCCTAGCTACCCATCCTTATCGCTCGCGCGTAATTATATTGCTGTCGCGACTGTGCGACGGGCGCCCGCAGTGAGTGTGCGAGCGCGACAGCAACATAATTACGCGCGAGCGATAAGGATGGGTAGCTTGGGGTCATTGGACAAAATTCTACGAGCTCACGGACCAGACTATAGTTTTAAGTGAGATGCAGTCTAGCTATAGGGTGGTACATTCCTGCCCAATGAATGCCTTTCTTTTTTTTTTTTTCTTTACTGTATTTTACGTTCCTAAGTGCCACCGTGATCGAATCAGAAATGAGGAAATCCGTAGGAGAACCAGTGACTGACATAGCCCGCAGAATCGCTAAAATAAAGTGGCAGTGGGCGGGGCACATAGCTCGGAGAGCTGATGGCCGCTGGGGCAGGAAAGTTCTTGAGTGGCGACCCGGAAGACGTAGCGTGGGCAGGCCTCCCACAAGGTGGACCGACGATCTGGTGAAGGTCGCGGGAGGTGTCTGGATGCGAGCGGCGCAGGACCGGTCTTTGTGGAAATCCTTGGGGGAGGCCTTTGTCCAGCAGTGGACGTCTTTCGGCTGAAACGAACGAACGAAGTGCCACCAGTGGTCAAAATCGAATAAAATATTTTTTATTTTCATTTTGATTTTCCATTTTTGCCTATTCTCACCTGATAAGCCCTAGGGAGTATAGTGTCGTGTCTGACGAGGTTACAAAGCACCACGGCGGTCCGTCGCGGCGAACATTCGGTGCGCAGCGGGCTGCCTTTTATGCGCTCGCAAAATGGCGCCGGGTTTTTTCGTCTGAAAATTGTTGAAATGTCAAAATGAAAATCAAGTTTTTGCAGTTTTCGGAATCTGCGTCAGAAACTACATATTACTTGCTGTTCCTGTTTCTAAATATATCTCAAAGGTGACTGACTGACTGACTAACATAGTGATCTATCAACGCACAGCCCAAACCACTGGACGGATCGGGCTGAAATTTCGCATGCAGGTAGATGTTATGATGTAGGTATCCGCTAAGAAAGGATTTTACGAAACTCCACCCATAAGGGGGTAAAACGGGATCCACGCGTACGAAGTCGCGGGCGGCCGCTAGTTTTTTTTAAATAAGTCTTGTTAACCCATCGTGGTTCGTACTAAACTAAATAAATGCTTGTGTTATGAGTGATTTCACCACAATAATTCTGCGGCGGAGTTCGAACCAGCGTTCCTGGAATCTGGAGTCGGCCAGTTCACCGTTTGACCATTATTATGAATTTCATGGTTTTAAATATTTGTTAATTTTTTTTTTAGAAAATAAAATTGCAAACCATGAGCTTTACTTTTCTGCAAATTCAGTGATTGTAAATACAAAAAATATATCCTATAGATATATTTTTATTTATAATACCTAAGCATGTATACTTACACTAAATCCATTCCATCAGTTGTGCTTGTAAATTATTAAGATATAGGTTAAAATTATAATGGAGATAACACATTTTTTCGTTTAGGTAGACTTTTTGGGTCCAAATGGATTTTTGACAAGTCTTGTTAGATTATTTTAAGTGTTAAAAATGCTTATAAATCTTATAATATGTATAAAATACTTACTTAGCAATATCCAAGTCATTGCTTGAAATAGAAAAGGTAATATTATTATAATGTCAAAGTTAAATACAACACTGACTAAATTCTAGACGGAATCTGGACATTTTCTTCTTTAGAAAGGAGAAGAATTCCCGTTCCGAAGTACCAGGGCCGCATGAGATTCTAAGAGGTAGTCTACAAGCTAGAAGAAATGATATATGGAAGTACCTTAACCACCAAGTAAATACCAGGTTAACATACGTTCTTAACTGGTTTGATAGTAGCTCAGGAAAAGAAACTATAGTTGCTAGATTCTAGAAAGATCTTACCACCATCTTGGAAGAGAAACTTTGCCTTATTGAAGTACCAGGACCGCATGTCTTTCTAAGAGGGAGACTGGAAGCTAGTTTCTAAAAGGAATCTTACTTACACCACTATCTTCTATAGAAGTAAAAAAAACTGCCGTTCCCAACTACCAGGACTGCAAAAGTTACTCAGATAAAGTTCTAGTCTAAGAGCTGTTCCTAAAAGGTTCTACAAGCTAGAAGACGGAAGTAGCTCAATACCTTTGTGTATTGAGTCACTGCTTGCAAGAAGACATGGCGAACTATAGTTCCAAAATATAGATGACCCACGCTGAACTGTCCCACCAAACTCAATGACAGGGGGGCGCTACCATCGTTAAACTATATGGTTTCCGTGGGTTTCCAACATGGCAAAAATCAGAACCAGCGATCCGGTATTGACGGTGGCGCCCCACTGTCAATGTAATGCATAGGACAGTTCAGTATAGTTCCAAAATACTGAACTGTGCTATGCATATGTCCATTATAGTCGAACGATGGTAGCGCCCCCCTGTCATTGAGTATGGTGAGATAGTTCAGCGTGGGTCATCTATAACTAAATTCTAGACGGAATCTTGACATTCTCTTCTTTAGAAAGGAGAAGAATTCCCGTTCCGAAGTACCAGGGCCACATGAGATTCAAAGAGGAAGTTCTAGGACCAATAAGGAGCCGCGATTCGTCCGTGGAAGCCACCAAGTTAGTACCAGGGTATTATAGTCTATTAAGAGACTCGGCGTTGGGCTTTGTAGGAACTAGAAAAAAGCTTATGAGAAGACTTTTTCCTCACTCACCTTACCACTTTTTCCATTCTAATAATGAAAGGTTGCTATTCTGAAGTACCAGGACCGCATGAGATTTCAAGAGGAAGTCTACAAGCCAGAAAATGATATGAAGCTTCTTTTGGTGTCCGTTTTGAAGTACCAGGGCCGCATGCATCTATAAGAGAGTGTTCTAAGCAGCTATATGGAAGTACCTCAACCTTTGTGTATTGAGCCACTGCTTGCAAGAAGACATGGCGAACTGGCAGCCCAGGCCTTTGCCCCAGTCCAGGGGCGCTGCTTGGGAGTACTCGGCGCGATACCAGCCCGTATCTTCCATCATAGCGAAGGTTATCCTGCTGAAGACGGAATTCTGGGTGTGCGTGCCGGTCATAGCTTCGTTCTAGAACATAATATTCGACTATTTAAACATTCTAATCAGAATTTCTTAAACTGTTGGGGGCACCCTGGAAGTTTGCAAGTATAAGTACGTATGGGAGACCGCAGCCTTATCCAAATATGGACCATTTTAACAATCTATTTATTTATTTTATTTAATAAGTACACATACAGGTTACAGTCATTTACATATCAAAGTACATAAACAAAATGAACACTGTCTAGACTCCAACCTACAAGTAGCGTACATTTAAGTTACGATGATTTCATTTACGTTGCACAATTAATAAACACATACAAAATTCTCAAATACACAATCAACCCTAGAAACTGTGTTAAAAAAGAAAAAAGGAAAAAGTTATCAATTATTTTTTGTATTAAATATCAATATTTATATTTAAAACTGTGTCAATGCTTCTGCGAAACGAGTGTAATTTTTGTTGAAATATATTAAAAATCATAAAATAAATGCCATCAAGTCTCATAAATAATCTAAAAATGCTGCATTTTTTTACTAAGGGGGTCCTTAAAATTGTGCTTGATTTCTTAAGGGGTCCGTGGACAAAAAAGTTTAAGAAACGCTCTAATTCATCATCATCATCTTTTAGGGCTATATTTCACCGGGACACCATGGCGGCGCAACCAGTCGCCGCTACCAACAAAATGTATCTATGCAGCTTTGCGCAACCAAACGGACACCAGGTGAGTAACTCTCTATAGAGCTGTATACATTTTGTTGGTAGCCGGCGACTGGTTGCGCCGCCATGGTGTCCCGGTGAAATATAGCCCTTAGTCTTCACTGTAGGAGCACTGCCTAACGTCATGTTTCAACCAATAGGAGCAAACACGGAAAAAATATTCAAAAGATTTTCACGCGTAAGTACATAGTCGTAGAAGGAAGACGTAACGTGGGTAGGCCCTTACTAGGTGGACCGACGATCTGGTGAAGGTTGCGGGAAGTGCCTGGATGCGGGCAGCGCAGAACCGGTGTTTATGGAAATCCTTGGGGAAGGCCTTTGTCCAGCAGTGGACGTCATTTACGGGACTATTCCCACCTCTCGTTCTGCAACTCCTGTGTAGATCTACAGCTTGACCGCCACAAAAACCCAACGAATGAAGGTCATGTTTGTCCCGGGGGAAAGTTAAACTGTCATTGGACCCGCAACGAAATTTATCAGAAGAACATAGGAGGAGTTCGAAATTAAGGTTCGACTTCCCTCCATTGCAAAGCGGATGACAGGTGACAAACAAAGGTTTAAAACCTTTAAGAAAAGATTATGCACCACGGACAATAAATTAAATTAAGGGGGCCTATCTTATGAGCAATTAGCAACTACCTGCCAATAATATTTTTCACAAAATCGATTGTGGGAAATTTGTGTGAAAGTGGACGTCATTTGGCTGAAACGAATGAACGAACTAAAACAATATTTTTTCTTACTTCATACACACGTTTCTCCCAGTGAGTGAGGGCTGTTCCATCACCTCCCTGGTCCTCCAATTCAGCCCCTTCCAACTCGGAGCAGTTGAAGTGGTCTCTGACCTGTAACGAATATAAATATAGATATTATTAGGCACTATTATTATACTAAGGCTGAGTTGAACCACCTAACTTTAACTGTAACTATAACGATAGCCGAAGTTTTTTGTATGGAAGTTGACAGACTTTTGACGTTTGTTAAAGTTAAAGTAAGATGGTGCAACAAAATCTAGGTATTTTTGTAAATGTAACCTACTAAATTTCATCATTGTCACTCGCAAGATATCGTTTAGAAACAGTGAATAAAGAATATCACAGTCCATTCCATTCCACATGGTATTTAGTTACGGGACTATTCCCACCTCTCTTTCCCAATACTGCAACTCCTGTGTAGCCAGGATCTACAGCTTGACCGCCATAAAAACCCAACCAGTGAAGGTCAAGTTTGTCCCGGGGGAAAGTTAAACTGTCATGGTATTTAGTTAGCCTTTTGTAGCTTAATTTATGTATGTGTAACAAAGCTTTTAATTCACAGGGTGGAATTTTGTAATACCATTCCATTCAACCCCACTCCATTCCATTCCAACCCACTACTTTTCATTCCATTCCATTCCACACCACTTAATTCCAATTCACCCCACACCACATCATTGTACCTAAAATACACCTTACCTCCTTAACCACCCTGGGAGTGACCATCATGTAGAAGGTCCTCTCCATGTATCCTCCCCTGATCATCCAGTTTTTCCGAGTCACGTTCTTCACCACGCGGTCTGACCACTTGTGGATTTGCAGTCTGTGGGATTTTAAATATAGGTATAGTCAACGACTTTAAATATAGTCGTAAAACATCATAAAGTTGTAAAATATAATCATAATTTAAGTTATAATCAACGCCAATAGAAAATGTAATGTTTCAACCACACCAATGCGTGCAGATCAAAGGGCAATGACAGGTCACATAAACTGTTTAATAACTGTTTAAAATTTGTCCCGGGGGACAAACTTGAAAAATCGTATCGTCGTTTCAGCCAAATGACNGTACTCAAGGCTTGACGTTTCGTTCCTTCCTTTAATTCTTATGTGAAAGTTTGTGACGGCGCGGTGGCTGTTTGTTACTGTTTCACGCTGAAAATACCTACTGATCCGATGTACATAGATGCCAGCTACGTAGGACTGTAGGTATGGAATACTGCTGCTACCTCTAGAACGGATTTGCCAAACTACGCATTTTAATTTTCAAGGTGTACAATACGATATCCACGGAAAAATATAGGATAGCTTTTATACCAGTTTTCGGAAGGGAATCTCTATGATATTTACGCGAGCCAAGTCACTGAAAAAGTCAGTCTCTTAAATCTCCAATTAAAAAAAAATTCGGAAGTAGATCTTTTTTCTATTATCACCGCAACCCAAAGGAATAACACAAATAGATACACTTCCACCTCAACAAAAAAAGAGGAAATCCTCATTTATAAGGGAAAGCTATGTTATCGGGAGGCGATGAGAGCAATGAGGAAAACTCGGCGAATAATAAAAACTAATACCGCCCCCCATTAACAGTTGTCGGCGATCGGCAATACGGAGGAGCGTTANTTCATTTCTGATTCGATCACGCAGGGAAACTCCGAGCATAGCCCGCTCCATCGCCTTGAAAAAATTCGACATTAATCAGAAGAACATAGGGGGAGTTTGTTGTTAAACTAATGAAAACTGTACTTCACTCACTCTTCATCTAAGGGTGGGTTTCCTGTGTCGGGGCGTCTTTCAGTCAGGGGCTCTCCAGCGTCATCTCTGAAATAATTTAAATTGTTTTTAGATTAATTATGTGGGAATCATTTCCTAAATAATAACTCACACAGTTACAAAACAAAATGTATATGGAATCGGCCGATACCAAATCGGTGTAATGTGCGCACTTCCATACAAACTTATTCATACTGATTAAAAGCCCGACCCAACTATCGGCTAACAAAAACTCTTTAGTCTGAAGGGAGTCTTATTATAAGATTAGCGGCAAAAGCGACTTCGTAAGCGTGGATCCCGGTTTACCCCCTTAGGGGTTGAGTTTCGTAAAATCCTTTCTTAGCGGATGCCTACGTCATAACATCTACCTGCATGCCAAATTTCAGCCCGATCCGTCCAGTGGTTTGAGCTGTGCGTTGATAGATCACTATGTCAGTCAGTCAGTCAATCAGTCACCTTTGAGTTATTTATATTTAGATACTAGTGATTAGAATGCAAATGAAACAAACTTACCTGAAAAAGGCGAACAGTGACAAACTGAACCCGAGAGCGTGTAGCATTTCGTGTTTGACAGTCGCCATGACAGACGGCAAGTCTCGGTACTTCGTTGACAGTTCTCCTGGGCAGAAGTTGGCGTGACCTGCCACGGGCCTGGAAGAAATCATCAGGTCATTTAGTTTCCACTGAAGGAGCACGGCCCTCTAACGCCTGCATTCACAAACATTACTATGAGATCTCACAGTGCGCGTGGACGCACAGGGCGACACATGAACCAATCACAGAGCTCTATTCAACGTTATGCGTTCGATTTGCTGCTTCAGTTAAGAGCGTTTACGCGAAGCGCTGCGTTTTAAAGGGCATCATTGGGAATGATTCGCGCGCGGCGTTTTTTAATAGTTTTCAAATGTTTATAGCAAAACAATAACAATGAATTATATCGTTTCAAAGTAAATATTTTAAAGAAGATGTTATTTTATTATATTAAGCTATTTTTATGTTGAATTAAAGAAGAATAATGGTGTAAAAATCACTTTGATTTTTGGTTCTTTGAATTTGTGATTTCTTATTGTAAAATGCCTAAATCTAAGAATGTTCTCAACTAACTATTTGCCTAAGGACCTATGCTATAATTAGGATATAAATGTTTGTTATATCGTTTTCACAGTATTTTTATAAAAATTTCAGCTTGTAAACTGACGCTAAAGTGGAAATTTGAAAACCTGTGTGGACTTATCTTGGTAGAATTCTTAAATACTATACTAATCGAAATATTTTCTCAACTAACTATTTAGACGAAGAAATTGCTAATTATATATGCTTATAACATATTTGTAATGTAACTGGTAAATGATTGTAACGGATTGAAAAAGTACTGTTTTTGCGCCAAACGGCGTAAACGCTGAGAAAATATTTCGATTAGTATAGTATTTAATACTATACTAATCGAAATATTTTCTCAACTAACTATTTAGACGAAGAAATTGCCTAATCTAAGTATATATATAAAAATGAAACCCGTTTTCCGTTGTCACGACATAACATGAAAACGGCTTGACCGATTTGGCTGATTTTTTTTTGTAGTTTTCTAATACTCTGTACAAGGTTTTTACGGAAAAAAATATAAAGAAAATCTCTACGCTAAGGCGGTACGAAGTTCGCCGGGTCAGCTAGTTATTTAATAATTACAGTAAATGATTGTAACGGGTTGAAAAAGTACTGTTTTTGCGCCGGCGTAAACGCTCTTAAAAGCAAGCATCGTTTGTGAATACGGGCGTAATTTGCCAGAAAATGGAGGATTTGGTCTACATTCCCCACGCTAGCCAGACGGGTTGGAAGGGCTTGATATTCTCAAATTTCTCCATATCTTCTACTTTAAAGTGTATAATTTATCTTTTATGACATCTATGGATCTATTCTACTCTACAAACGGCTATTTAGTGCCAAAACTAGAAGCTAGAAATCTAGAAAATTCTTCATTAATTTGATTTTTATTTTGAGACATCACGCGAACTTCTTCAGAGAACTTGAAGTGAAGAGGTAGCACTGTTTTGTTTGTTTCATATGCCAACAAACTTGCACGTTCACGAGTACTGGTTAAACGTGGACAAACTGCTAAACTGTAATTTAGTTTGCTAAAAAAGCGAAGGTGCGCAGAATTATAGATCGTTTCATCCACGAAGACGCGCCCCACAAATTTTTGGTCTCGGTCGCGCGGGGTGCGGGGAGTTCGATCCGAGCAATCCGAGCGTCATTTTTGTTGTATGCGTGTGCTCATGGATGATTTAGCGTGTACCGATAACACTCAAACATTAGCGGAAGAATGGTGGGGCGCGTCTTCGTGGATGAAACGACCTATAATGATGATGACATTTAATTTGACACTTACCTATCTAATGCAGATTCCTGCTGACAATGCGACGCGTACGCAACTGTCAACCCTCTTTTGCAACGCGCTGTTTCAACTGCACTGACGTATAACACGAAGTCTGAATTTTGTATTCCAGTTGGTTCTTCATCGTCTGTGTGCTCTGAAATACGAAAATAATGGCGTCAATTGTAATTAAAATTTCATAGCAATTAGAGTCGCTTCTCAAACTGAATTTTAAATAAACAACTTAAAAAAATCGAACTGCCTAAGGCGGATATCGAACCCCGATCTATCGCTGTGCGACGGGCAACCGCAGTGAGTGTGCAAGCGCGACAGCAATACAATCAATTACTCGTGAGCGATAGGGATGGGTAGCTTGGGGTCATTGTCCGAAATTCTATCTGCTCGGTGACCGGACTTTACTAATCCTACCTATATCTTTCTTACCTGGGGGTGTAACGGATTCGAAGCCAAAGTTGAGTGCGTTCCCGGTGATCTCCGTGCTATCCTCATCTATCACGGGTCGAGTCCTGGGCAAGGCTCTGCAGTTGTGACCGGTACTGTTGCACACGTAGCATGGCTGCAAGAGAGGAAAAAAGTATTTATGAAAAAGTGTTTTTTTCTTGCTGCTTTTTTTCATTTTCATTTTTACCCGCGATTTTCGGCCTGTCCTGTGAAAAGGTAACAAACAACATTCATACAAAACTAACTACATACTGAAAGAATTTGGATCAGTTTACATCAGAAGCACATAATATAGGATAATAACAATAATTATAAATCTCTGCGTGCAAAGCCACAGGCTACAGCTAGATATTAGGTACGTACGACATAAATTCAAAGCAGTAAAAGAACGATAAAAATAATCATGTATTTTTCAATGCGTTTTATGCGTTTTTATTTCGAGCATGGCGATTTCATACAAAATGCATATAATACTGGGTAAGAAGACATTTTTTAAACTTTTGTTTCCCGTAAATCTTTATACAATTCTGTTTCTTTTCTTGAGTTAGATTATTGTTTTCTAGTAGACTTAAGCGCTGTTCTTTCAATTGAGTCTTAAGCTCTATTATGTCTAGCGTATGACTCTAATTATTTTAATTATTTACAAAAAAATGTTTGTGATATTGTGGTGAATTTAAATGTAGTTCTATTTCTTTTCAAAAATAAAGGAGTGTTTTCTTTGAGTAAAATCGACGCTCCCTCACTATTCANGAGCGTTAACACATGTCGGCAGATAGTGGCGCCACAGTCAAAAATAATAGTAACACATGTTCACACTAGTTCATACATTGCCTAGTGGTAGGTACAGGACATGCGTATAAAATGTAATCGATGAGCAAAAGATGCCCTACATTATGCCATGTTGTAAGCCTTACTTTCAAAAGTACAAAATATTGCCCTTGCCTTGTATTTATATTTGAAATATTTGTAACTTTGTCCGTTCCCACTTTGAGTTTTTTACAAAACGTGAAGAATCATGTCCACAATACCATTTAAGAAATAAAAATAAGTTAATGATACCAACCATCCGCCTAAGTTTATCCTCTTCAAGTACTTATAATATGGCCATAAAGATTTATAATAAATTGCCCGATTATCTATTGAAAGAAAATAATGATAACAAATTCACAAAAGAACTAAAAGAGCTTTTAAGTACAAAATGTTACTACACTATAAAAGAATATCTAGATGATAAAATAAGATGAGTCTATTAATCTAATAATTAAAAAAGCAATAAACATATTGAGTATTGAGTACCGCAAAAAAATCATAAATTTTGTAGTTGGCTGACAATTCAAATACAATATTTGTTTGGTCTCTAAATTATTATTATGATGTTTATTATTTCCAGTTTTTAAATCATCAATCAATATTAATTGCTAAAATGTGATTTCAATGTCAAGACAGAAATGGGTATCCGAACAACATGTTTGATACATGTATTCCAATTCTTATACATATTATGTATCTATGCATGCAGAATCTTATTTGGGCATTAGCAAGCGCTAATATTTTTTTATCTTACAACACCAAGCAATATTTTGGTTCTTTCTGTGGAACAACAAGGCTAAGGGGCCTACTAATAACAAACCAATAAATGAATATTCGTAACAACCGGATTATTTACTTTTCTATTTGACTATGGTACAATGAAGACCACAGCTACTCCCTTAGGAAAATATTGAACCTTATTGCTTGGAGCAAAGTTACAGATTAGCTAATAGTTATATGACCAAAAGATCCTTTGTTGCCGCACAAGACATTGGGCACATATGGCTTGATAATACATTTATTGAAATCTATATCTATACTCCTAACTAATATTATAAATGCGAAAGTAACTCTGTTTGTCTGTCTATCTTGCTTTCACGCCTAAACCAATGAACCGGTTTTGATAAAATTTGGCATAGAGATAGTTTGAGTCCAGGGACGCGCGCAATAAAGTTTTTCTGTGACAGACAAAATTCCACGCGGGCGAAGCCGCGGGCGGAAAGCTAGTTATCAAATAAATGTACAAATATTGAATTAATTTAATGATAATAAAATCCTAATAGCCCAACAGATTAGCAAGATGAAGTGGCTATGGGCAGGGCACATAGTACGCAGAATTGACGGCCAATGGGGCAGCAAGGTTCTGGAGTGGAGGCCACGTACCTGAAACCAGTTCCCACAAGTTGGACAGACGACCTCATAAAAGGTAGCAGGAAGGTGCTGGATGCAGGCTGCTCTATCAACCGGTGAATCTGGAAATCATTGGAGGAGGCTTATGTTCAGTAGTGGATGTTTTATGACTGAAATGATGATGAAGATGATGATCATACTATAAAATTTTTGACAAGTCATATAATGTCCTGTGTTCCTGAGAAAAACTCGAATTTTCTCAGATTTTCGTAATTTATTCATAATTATTCGCGGCCATAAGATCGAGGGTTCCATTTAGTACGGAACCCGGTTATGACGACAGCAGCTATCACGCCCCACGTGTATTACAAGCCTCAAGCGGTTTAAGTACAGCCGGACGAGAATAAATGTTAAAATAAACATTATATGAGGAAAAAAAGTTGAAATGTCTGTAGTAGGAAGTGATTATGCTTTCATTATTTTAGGCTAGCATTAGAATAAATTTCAATAACATAGGGATTTTTTATTTGATACATGATTTTGTAACAACAAACGAAGTTTTTATAATATATTTTTTTAATCCACTATTGACGAGTTTGTCCCAATCTCGTCTTACACTAAATCTAGTTCTACCTAGTCAAGGTTAACATAATCCTTTATTATGCTGAAAACCAATCTTAGAGAAGGCATAGTTCCTGGCTATTATTAACAGAAAGATAACGAAACCGTCCGTTAAATAACTGCAAAACACTAGAAACAGGCCCATGTTGCGCTAACATCAATAGGTACCTTTGATTTTCATTCTATCACTGGTATGATACTAGTCAGTGTGATATGTCGCCCCAAAGTGGTGGTAGGGCAAGGAAGCTATATTTGGGCTGTGTATAAGTGCCCTAAAAAGCCAACATACTTCGACGCGACGCGGTTTGGTCTCAGAATGTCCAATTTGCAAAATGTCAAGTGGTAGCAAAATGTCAAAGTCGCAAAACGTCCAAGTCGCAAAACGTCCAAGTCGCAAAACGTCCAAGTCGTAAAATGTCCAAGTCTCTAAAGTTCAAAGTTTCTTAATAAATTATGAAATTAAAACTCTTTATTAGGTTCGACGCCATGCTGACAGTTGGTGACCCCGTGGTGCCTTTTTTTATCAAAATTAACTTAAAAATTGTTGTTTAAAAAAATTTCTTAAAAATACGCGTCCGAGTGTACACCGGGCGGTCACAATGCAAACAAAAGGGCAATCCCAGTGCGCACAAATCTTAATCTTAGCATTCATTATGGGAACAAAATGGCGAACCTGAATTTATTCTGGGCAACCTCGCCCGACGCGTTTTATGAACTCCGGGTAGCTTCACTTGGTTTAAATTATTATTTAAATTTGAATTTTTTGTTAGTGTCCTTTTTGGGGCACTTAAACACGTCCCCAATATGGCTTCCTCTACTACTATGGTACAACACTAGTAAGTCTTAAAATTAGTTGTCGAAATAATTTAAATTTCTAACGTGTGGAATCATTTTTTTCAAGAGGTTTGAAGAGGAGAGCATATCTTTACCTTAAAGGTCGATAACGCACCTGTAACGCCCCTGGGTTCGCGGGTGTCTATGGGCGACGGTAATCACTTACCATAATCAGGTGATCCGTCTGCTCGTTTGCCTCCTGTCACATAAAAAAAAAATCAGCCGTCTGGTTAAAACAAGATTTCGTATAATTTGTATGGGACCGCGTCCAGTAAAAATCACTTCCTACATCTTGATCTAGACCAATAGTATTGAAACAAAATTCAAATCTTAAATTAAGCAATTTGATTTATGAACGATATAAAAAAATAGAAAGAAAGATCTCTCGTTTTCAAGTTTACATACATACACAGCCTACCGAAACCCAAATGTAATATTTTTGAAACCTAGAACTAAGAAGTCTATAATCGTCAATATTCTTTATTTTTTCAAGACAATGAACAGAATAAAATTTACTCTATGTCTAGCTCATCGCTCAGGCGGTCGACCGGCAAGCGAAAAAATTTAAAAATCTTTACCAACTTTATTTTCATGTCCTTCCCAAGAATCAAACCCGCACAACAACAATCTACTCCACATGAGTTAAAATATTTCCATTCCACACAATACACCTGGCGTAGCGATCGCGCCCCACCGAAGGAATATTACCAGATTGGCCCGGGGCATTTTTAATTTTCCCCGGAATCACCTAGCCTTGCCTTTTTCTCTTTGCCTTAATAAGACAGTGGCTCTAAGGGGTAATTTTATTGATTAACTTCGGTATTTTTGAGATAAGAATAATTTTATGGAGATTTTTTGGGGACATTTTGGGGTTGGATGGGAAATATTTTGTTTTAGGTTTAGCAATTATGCGTATGAAAGGCATATGTGCAGTGGACGTCTTGTGGGTGAAATGATGATGATAATGACGATAGAAGTCCCAAAGTTTAAGTGTCATATTTATAATTAAGGTGAGAGCTAATAATGAAATTATGGTGATGATATTGGAATCATAGTGTTAAAAATACGTGACACAAAAGGACTTAAAGTTAGATTGGTTTGGAGATTTCAATCGCTAGATCGAAGTAAGTACAGTAGTAGGTAACTAAATTTTTATGAAAACGTTTGAAAACGTCTTTTTTAAACAGCCGCCCGCGACTTCGTACGCGTGGATCCCGTTTTACCTCCTTAGGGGTGGAGTTTCGTAAAATCCTTTCTTAGCGGATGCCTACGTCATAACATCTACCTGCATGCCAAATTTCAGCCCGATCGCTCCAGTGGTTTGGGCTGTGCGTTGATAGGTCACTCAGTCAGTCACCTTTGAGTTTTATAATATTTAGATACCAAGGCTGGATTGCAGCACGGGCGCACGGCACCATCTCACTTTAGCCATAACTATAGGTAACCAACGAGTGTTTTTGTATGGAGTTTGACAGACTTTTGACGTTTGTTACAGTTAAAGTAAGA